TTGAAATCAAGGAATAGTCGGACACATCTATGATCAGCAAAATTCGCCTCCATATCCTTCACAGAAATAAAGATGGGTTGCCAGGCAATGAAACATACGCCCACAGCAGTTACATCGTCCGGGCAGTCAACAAGAGTTGTCACATATTTTTACTTTTTTCGGTAATGAAACATTTATAATACATTAAAATCTGATTAAGAGTAACAACTCATTAAGTAATTATCAGAAAACCATTAGAATTTGTTTGGTTTTTATAAAGTTCTGCCCCATGCTAACGTTTAGTATACAAATATTTAGCTTTTCAAGTCATAAAAATTCATTGAAAATCAATATACTTGTTCGTCTCAAGACCTTAAACTCTGTGTATCAATCTGAAATCAATCGGATGATAACTTTATCCTCTAGAGCATCACAAGATTTTTCAAAATGATCAAGGGCCATAACTTTGGCAGTAATTATCGGAAATCTTTGAAAATCAATATGATTCTTCGGCTCATGACCTCAAACACTGTGTATAAATTTAAAGTCAATCGGATAGTAACTGTAGCTTCTAGAGCATTTACCTGGCAGTAATTATCGAAAATCGCTGAAAATGAATAGACTTCTTTGTCTCATGACCTTAAACACTGTGTATAAATTTAAAGTCAATCGGATATTAACTTTAGCCTCTAGAGCATCCACAAGATTTTTCAAAGTGATCAAGGGCCATAACTCTGGCAGTAATTATCAGAAATTGCTGACAATCAATAGGCTTCTTTGTCTCATGACCTTAAACACTGTGTATAAAATTAAAGTCAATCGGATATTAACTTTAGCCTCTAGAGCGTCCACAAGCAACTTGCGGACGCCGGACGGACGGGGGTGACGACAATATACAACCACATTTCAATGTGAGCGTATAAAAATTACTATATATCTGTCTCAAAATAAGTGAAGTTTTGTTTATCAAGCCCCATTCGATTGTGGGTATCCATTTCAATTAATAAATGCCATTGAAACAATTTAAATACAAACCCTTTTAGCTTTTTCTGCATTAAATTTTTGTCTGGCATATTCTCTTCTTCTAACCCCTCTATATACATGGAAATCACCACTTCCTGCTCCAGCACTTGATCCTAAAATCCAACCAAATAATATTATAGTTGTCATAAACCTGGTTTTACATTTAGGTATGGTGGAATATCTAGTCTTTATCACATTGCTGATCTGCAACAGATGCAGGGTTTGGGTTTTTGTAATACATGGTTTTGATATGGCTAATGTGATATTGGGAAGAAATATTTTGAAAATTAAATTATAAAAATTTAAGTTACCCCAAACATTTCTGATAAATTCTGGTGTTTTCTTAGCTGATGAATCTTTTGGTTTATCAGGAATGAAAACCTCTTTATTCTGCAAAATAATGAATAAAAACAATAAGCTCATATAATTCTATACATTCTATAAAATTTCCCTCATAGCACACTGTATGGCGTATGCCCGTCTTCATTGGCCCAGTTTAGGAGCAGAACAGTAGGACGTTAAACCCCATTTCATTTCATTTCCCAACTGGCACATATCTTACCTTGGACCTTATAAGGATTATTTTAGGATACATGTATCATAAGGTCCATGGTCTTGTCAACAAAGTCTAGTGTTTACTTGATGGCTACCGTTCGAGGGATTGAGAGAATTAAATTCTGGAAAGTCAGGTCCAGAATGAGAACCTAAACAAAGCCGAAGAAAACATCTGACTCGGGCCGTCAGGGCAAAAAATAGTTCAGCTCTGAACGTAGGTCTCATTACACTCGCCCTATACGTTTAGGAACCTTCCTATCGAAAAATATTCCACTTCCCAGTAAATTTTACTGGGCAACTTTTTACTGCTAAACGGTCGTGTGTCAGTCCCTGTGAAAGCCTGAACAATGTAAATGAACATCTTAGTGAGAAAATAAGACCTTGCTTACCTCGCCAGAACCAGTATGAGCGACAAAACGTACGCTGTTAAAAAATATGTCCCTGTCTTCTAAACGACTTGGCCGATGCCATTGAAATCTAAATATAGGGTAACTCATAAATTTAACAACTCAGCCATATAAGATGAAACGAAATTTAGGTAAGCCCGGGAGAAAAATAATTGGGATTTTTGAAAAAATTTGATTGTAAATTATTGTAATTTGGGCTACTGTCTGATTCATCGTAAATTTTAAACGGATTTCTTCGATTATGAACAAACTACTTAACGTTGGTTATTATAAACTTACCTGTGTGTTTGTAATGAACTCCTGTTCGATAAAATCCATTGCACAACTAATTATCACAACGATGAAAACAAGTTCTCTCTTGAAAAATTGAAATATCACAAACTTTTCCCAGAGAAAAATACCAATATGGAAGATGGTTACGTCACTCTGCGGAAGATATCATTTCGTATTAGGGGTGACAGCATAGGAAATTCAAGTACAATTACGACAAGAATCCATGACCACTCGGACCAAAGATCACTCGGTTCAAGACCAGTCGGACCAAGTGATAGACCACTCAGCCCAAACAAATAGACTACTCGGACCATACAAAAAGACTATTCGGACCCAACAGAAAGACGACTCGGACCAATAATAAAATGTTGTTTTAATAAATTGATAATTGCGTTTGTTTTAATATAATTACTCGAACCAATAATAAAGTGTTATTTTAATAAATTGATAATTGTGTTTATTTTAATATGACTACTCGAACCAATAATAAAGTGTTATTTGAATAAATTGATAATTGTGTGTGTTTTAATATGACTACTCGAACTAATAATAACGTGTTGTTTGAATAAATTGATAATTGTATTCCAAATCGCAAAATATCGAGAACCACACTTGTAGTCACGTTTAAAAAGGGGCATATAAACGTCCAGTCTTCGTATTATTATGTGCTGTTTATATTAACGCATCAAGGGCGGATAACTTGAAAACGTGTCTCCACCCCTCCCCCCCCATATATAGTAACCCAGGGGTTAGTGGGGTAGAACGGAATGAAACCACTGGGGATACCGCGAATGTGGAAAAAGTAAAATTAGGCTATCAGACAAGAACAGTATACCCGTATATGTAGAAACTGTCAAAAGTCTGGACATACCGAGTCTCATTGCAAGAGTAAAGAAAAATTAGATTGATATTTTTTTTTGGCACCATTATTAATTAATTTTAAAACTAATCGTTGATTTATTTACGTACACAAAATTGAACCAAACAACTCTAAATATAAGAATTCCGTATAAGAATTATTTGCTTCTTTGTATTGTGATTTAATAATAAATAAATAGCATATTGTCTAGCCTTATAATATAATTTAATTGGTCCGACTGGTCTTGTTTTGGTCCGACTGGTCTTAGTCCGAGTAGTCTTTGGTCCGAGTGGTCTGGATACCTACGACAATTGGCATTGAGTTTGAGCGTTCGCACACATAACTACCCGCATTCCTGTATTTAGTTACCGTCTTTTACATTCTAGTAAAATCTCTGCAAATTTTATAGCTTTACTTTTTGAAATATTTTGTTCTAATTATTTGATTAGCGACTCGGATGGGATTACTTACTTTTGAACACGCATGCCGCACAAACACAACTATACATTCGTTTTACGGGCTTTATCACACTTCGGTCAAAACTGTCGAATCGAGAATTAATGTTCCGCTTCTTACGGGGTCATACGGGCTTAGTAGCATTATATACCCACCCGGGCACCCAATACGGCAATAGACACGCTGAGGGCTGCCGCAACACGCTTAAAGATGTTACTGAAGCGGTTATTATTCGATCGAAAGAATGCGTATAAAATTAAAAATACACTCAGAGAATTCGGAGGTAAGCTTCATGATCCTTGTTAAATTATTTATAACATAAAGAAGATAGGATATTTATAGTTTATTTATGACTTTATTTTTACGAGTATCCGTGCAATCAGTGATATTTTAATTGTGAAGAAAATTTGATAGACTGGCGATCAATGGTTTCCATATAAATCTCCTATGTAATTGCCTTCAATTGATATTTTTCGTCGCCCAAACCCATATACGATTAAAATGATCGCGCTGTCAAACTATCTTTCAATGTTAACCAACCCCCGCAACAGGTATATTGGATTCGACCAATACGTCACGAAGACATTGTTGACATCGACTCTGTCGAAATTACAAGTAAATTTTCAAATTTTTCAAGAGAGAAATTGTTCTCATCGTTGTGATAATTAGTTGTGCAATGGATTTTATCGAACGGGAGTTCATTACAAACACACAGGTAAGTTTATAATAACCAAAGTTAAGTAGTTTGTTCATAATCGAAGAAATCCGTTTAAAATTTACGATGAATCAGACAGGCAAAGCAATAAATAACTGAAGATTCTCAACCGGTTAGCATAACCGAAGAATACTTTGTCAATTCTACGCTAAGGACAAGTTCACCTGTACTTACTGGATTTTTCATTAATTTTTCCAACTTTAACCTTTGTAAATCTGTGGCTGAATGTACAACCAGAACCTTTTTTTCACTTTTTTCCGCCATGCTTGCTTGTGTTTGTTGATAAATAAGTCCACTTCCTGTAGTCGAGGTTGTCAAATATAAGCTATTTTATAATTATAACATGTCCTGTTACTCCCGTCTACAAGCGGTGTTAAACTAATTGAGGCCCAGCCCGAACAGTCTCATCTGTCAATCCGAAAGTATAATATTTAGCCTTTCTAGCTGAACCATAAGGAGCTAAGGTCCATCCTAACCACTTAATTTAAAAAATAGCCAGACCTGTAAGCATTATTGAAAGAAACAATTTGATATTGTATAGAGCAGAGGCTGCTGTGTTGGGTCTCTTTTTATAATTTATTATTATTAATTAAAATTTTTAAGGGTTTGATTTTTCATCTAAGGGCTAACTTTGTAGGCTAATTAATGGGCACAATAATAGCTAGATCTTGACTGGTGGGGCTGGCCGGTCACCTCTGGCTTGCGGCTGTGGTTTCGATCCCCGGTGTGAGCGTATACATGTGGCTTGGAGATAGGGGCGCCTTCTCAACCTCGTTGGTACTCCGGGTACTCCGGTTTCCTCCCACAGGAAAGACCCCTGCGTGTGCGCTAAGATAAGAAAAAGATGACTTGTCTGCGATGTCACCTTCAGTGGAAGCAGACGTTAAACACCAAGAACAACAACAGTTCTTGACCAATCTGGAAAATATCTTTCTAGGGTTAGGATTACAATTTACATGTGAAATAAACAAATTGAAGCTGCAAAAATGGTGGATTGTGGGTAAAACTATTCTGAAGGGTTAGGGTTAGACTTGTGGGTATAAACATGGAAAGATATTTTCCAGATCGACCGAGATCCAGTATCGTGCATTTAAACATACATTATGCAAGAGCAAAATCTGATTATTGCAAGTCTTAATTTAGGCTTCAGATGTTATAGAAATTATAAATTAGATCTTTATTTAAACAACAAGCCCAAAATCAACTCTGTAGTTCCACGGATGGCTCGGCTACAGCTCGGATTTCAATAGGATTTCACTTATCAATTAATTCAAATATGGCACATCCTGATGAGAATACGTCAGTTAGATCGAGGCTAAATGATAGAGTGTACTTAGCGAGGCCGCTGTAGAGCGTTTCCGCATGCCATTGAAAACTTCACTTGATAATCGAGATATGTAGGTGGAGTTAACGCCTGTCAATCAAACGATCAGCCACGGTGAAGGCACATTTCACTACCATTTCTAGTCAAATATTACAACGATGATAACTATGTTCAGAATAAAGTAATTTGACTGAAATTTTCAAAATATTCTTCTTTCATCATCTACTTTTGAACTGTTATAGCAAGAATGGCCAATTCTCTGTAAAAATCTCCCATAATGTATCTTTAATGGATCTCTTTACAATCTTATAAAGTTTTGATTACGGTAGCCTAAGCTATCATAAGCCAGCGGACACTTACGGATAGCTTCGGATCCATATTTACTTGATTTACTATAGGCATGTACGCTTGTTGTTTATTACTTAGAACGTCTGTGTAGTTTGCGTCTAACCTCTGACTTTCCCAACAAGATACAGTTGAATCTTACAAATGAACAGAATTAAGAAAGCCAATTTTTATATATATGGTGTCGCCCCCTAACCCACCCACCACCCACCCCCTTCAGTCTGTCCGGCGTTCATAAGCAATTGCTGTAGAGGCTAAAGTTAATATCCAATTGACTTTACATTTATACACAGACTTTATATAAGGTCATGAGACGAAGACACCAACTGATTTTTTGATTTTCAACAATTTCCGATAATTACTACCAGAGTTTTGGCCCTTCATCACTTTGAAGAATCTTGTGGACACTTTAAAGGCTAAGGTTAATATCAGATTGAACATTAATACACAGTGTTTAGAGTCATGAGACAAAACCTACTGATTTTCAATGATTTCAAACAATTACCTCTAGACCTACGGTCCTTGATCACTTTGAAAAATCTTGTGGGTGCTCTAGAGACCAAAGTTATCATCCAACTAAATTAATACACCCTGTTGAAAGTCATAAGATGATGAATCCTATGGATTTCTAGTGGATTATGATAAATATTGTCGTGTTATGGCACTTGATTAGGCTACTTTGGAAAATCTTGTGAAAATCTACAGGCCACAGTTATCATTCAATTGACGTTAAATTTATATACATAGTTTAAGGTCTTGAGACGAACAAGTCTATTAATTTGAATTTCAATGATTTCCGTTAACTTGAACAGTTAATCCATAATGTACATTATTTTGAATACTAAACCGTTAGCCTTGGGCAGAACTAGACACTAAACAAATGTTACTTTTAATCAGATTTTAGTGTATTGTTTCATTACCGATCAAAGAAAAAATATATGGCAACTCTTGTTGATTGCCAAAAATGACTTAGATGCTGTGGGGTATGTATCATTGTCTGGCAACCTATATTTAATATTACAGGAGCCAATGGCTGAAGCAGGCATTAACAATGATGAAGAGATGAAAGATGTAGAAGACTGTAATTATCAACCACAGAAATATTGGGGTTTGGATTATCATTTCAGATCGTGTTTAAAGCTCTATATATGTGAAATATTGCAAGCACCATATAATACTCCATATAAAGGTACTGGTAATTAATTGATATTAATGTATATTGAAACTATGGAGACATGCACACCTTAAAGAACATATCCCTGGCACATACATGTAGTCTGTCCTTAATGACATAATAAGAAATATTAATTAGGTTGAATGAAAACATAGGTAACAGAATCCATGTAATTAAAATTTGAGGAACAATAGATAAATCTGGTGCCCATGCAAAATTCTCCCATTGAATGAAACATATCATTGCCATTGGTCTTTAAATAACATTGGCCCAAAAAATTGTTTGTATTCAAGAGACACTAGAGACAACAAGTGAATACCTCTCTCCAACCCCCTCATCCTTTATGTTTCTTTAAAGCATGGGCAGATATTTATAAGAATAAGTTGAGAAAGAAGTGTCCCATACAGGAAGATAATGAATTCCTTTACTGTATTGTGATAAAAATATTTTTTACGGTTATTTCTTTTTTACAGGACTGTTTGCATACAAAAATCATCCATTTCAGAAAGTTGACATAATGGGTGTGGTTGTTGGTATTGATGAAAGAACTAGATGTTATACCTATAATGGTAAGATCAAATATTTTAAAAATGGTCAAGTTACACAGGAACCATGCTGAAAAATAAATCAGAAAATGAAAATACTCTTTCTGTTTCTAAAGTGTCCCAAAATGTTGTGTATAAAATGAAAAATATAATATATACAAAATCTTAATCTCCTTCACATTTTTTATTTCAGTGTTTAGTGTCAATTACGTAGAAAACATCTCGTTTTGAAAATTTTATCATATCATGAGGCAGAGCTTCTAAACTGTGATGTCGATAGTTCATATAGCTATATAGCTAACAATTTTTGTTGTAAAGGCACTTTTATAATATGTTACTACACACAGAATTAGAGAAACAAGTAGTCTTATTAAGTCTTGTAATTGATTGATTGGATCAGTTTCAATCTCATCCAGGGGTACACAAATACATTTCTGTTTTTTATACGCCTACATTGAAACGTTGTCGTATATTGTCGTCGCCCCCGTCCATTGGTCCGGCGTCCACAATTGCTTGTGGATGCTCTAGAGGCTAAAGTTAATATCCGATTGACTTTAAATTTATACACAGTGTTTAAGGTCATGAGACGAAGAAGCCTGTTGATTTTCAATGATTTCTGATAACTTGAACAGCTAAATCCATGATATTAAATGTTTCACACACTAAACGTTAGCATGGGGCAGAACTAAAAGCCAAACAAATTCTAATGATTCTCTGATAATTACTTAATGAGTTGTTACTCTTAATCAGATTTTAGTGTATTATAGATGTTTCATTACCAACAATAGAAAAAATATGCGACAACTGTTGTTGACTGCTCCGACGACTTAGCTGCTGTGGGCGTATGTTTCGTTGCCTGGCAACCTATCTTTCAATATTATATAGTTGATGATGGAACTGGAGTAATCACTTGCGCAATTTGGAACAATCTACCAGGTATGTAATACTTTTTATGAACTAAAATGGTTGTGTATAGTTTTGCAATTGGTTACATAATACGAAGAAAATTGTAATTTCATGACAAGATTTACAGAGTTATTTCCCCTGGCACATCAATTATTTCTGGTCATCTCATTATTTTACAACAAAAGGTTTTTCAAAATCGACTAACATCATCTAAATATATGGGTCATTTAATATTTGTTTGTTCAAGCCAATGAAGGTTGTTGGGTGGCCATCAATCAAACATAAAATTAAAATGCCCTGGACTTGATCCCACATTTGCACATGATACATTGTAGCATTACCAGTACCTGCCTAACCACCTAGATTTCTCCAGTCTCCTGCCACTGCTGAAGATCTTTGTGCTCAAGCAAATAATAGAAATTTATATACCATATTTAGTTCCAGAATGTCCTAATTTTTGTGGAATGGGCAACATATTCATAAGATAATCTTAACAGTACAATGGCTGTTTTTTTATAGTATGAAGTTCATTATATTGTGTTTTTCAGTTGATAATTATTCATTAAGAAGATTACCAGGTATATTGATAAAGAAATTAGATGATATCTGTAAACCAACACTATATGAACTGGGCGATATGATACATGTTTGTGGTAAACTCAAGATGTTTAGAAATATGCGAGAGATTGTTTCTTCCTATCACAGTATCCTTTTATAAGATTTATTAAATTACAAATAGCAATTTTTTATGTGCCCACCTTTAATGTGGATGTATATTGTCATCATGTGCGGCGAAAGTATCTTATGAACTCGAAGTTCCTGACTTGTTTTTTTCCAAAATTAGTAACCTATCAAAATTATTTTATAAGAAATCGCAGCATATTGTTTCAATCAAATTTATAATACCGGGTGACACAAAAAAAGCGTTCATCACCTAAACAAAGAGGGTTGTCAGGGACCTCCAGTGGTTCCAGCAGGATGGTCCCACCCCCCACACCTCAAACGAATCATTGCCATGGCTACAGCAGCGTTTCCCTGACCGACTGATCAGCCGCAGGTGTGACCCGGAGTGGTCGCCGCATTCACCGGACTTGAACGCCCCAGATTTTTATCTGTGGGGATACCTTAAGGACAGGGTGTATGGCAACAACCCCCAGACTATCCCTGATCTGAAGGCAGCGATCACAGCAGCAATAAAAGCGATCCCAAGGGAAGAATGTGGGAGGGTCATCGAGAACTTTGCCCACCAGATTCAAATGGGCTTGCAGCACCGGGGAGCTCATTTAGAGCACATTTTTTGAGCGTCAGTTAAACAAAGAGTTTTTGTGGTACAGACTTGAAACTTTGGAGATGTCTGCTACATAGACTTAACCTAATGTAGCTGAATTTTTGTATTAATCTAAATACAATTTTGGAAGTCATTCGATTTTTATTGATGAACGTTTTTTTTTGTGTCACCCTGTATCATTGGAACTAGTTACAGGATAAGAGTTCTCAACAGAATTTTTTAAATCTCAACAGAATTTTTTAAATCTCAGTAAAGTTTTTCATTTTGGCATAACAAAGCACCTAAGTGTTCATAAAAGTTCTCAGTGGAATTTCAAGAGTTTGTTTTTGCCTAAGGCGGAAGCCTTAACGAAATTCACAATTTTTAGGTCACAAATCTTGGAGATTTTCTCCTGTTTACGTTTAAATTTACGAAATATTACCTATCTTCTAAGTCTTTATTTCGACTCAGTGGATCACTAACACAGGGGTCCAGGTTTTAATCCCGGTGTTAGATGAGTAAGTTTTTGATGATTTTTCAGACTGATTCCCCCTTGTCTTTGGTGCAGAAGGGGGGGGGGGGGGGTCTGGCAAGGAAAATGGATCTAATTGTTCAGATGAGACATATAAAAAAAACAGAGGTCCATTCATGTACTTTTGGTAAGCACATAAAAGAACCCTTGACAGTGGAATTTAATAAAGATTAGGTGGAAACTTTGCTATCCAGGTATATATCTTCATAACACACTATGTTTGCCCATTTTCATTAGCCCAGTTGGTGCCGAATAGTAGGACTTAAACCCTATTTCATTTCATGTCTTTATAAAATTATTGTGCTGGATGATGCAATGGATATTTTTGCCTGGGCTGCTACTTTTCTGTTTTCTAGTTTAATACATTCAAACTATTAGTTTGATATATTAAAGATACATTATGTAAGATTTAGATAAAGAACTAGCCATTCTTGCTATAATAGTTCGAAAGTAGATGATGTAAAATGAATAATTTGAAAATTTCATTCAAATTACTATATTGCAAGCGAAGATATTAGCCTTTGAAGGTTTGACAGACCTGTGCAATAATTTCAACCATCGTACTGGTTGATCGAAGCTAAGTCTCGGTCCTCCATATTTGATTAAATCAAAGTATCGCTGAACCATTCTAATCTATTTAATATCGGAGAAATCTGATGCCATCGAGAGTTGATTAAGGCCTGGATAATTAATACTTTAGAAAACATTTCAGGCCTAAAGAAAGACCTGCAATAGGCAGATTTAGCTCTTGCATAATGCATGTTTAAGTGTCATGCTTCAAACATGGTTATATTACTAATGTTGCTTTACATAACTACTAGGTTGTTTTGTTGAAAACTAAATGGGTTTTTGGATGATATAAAATTTGTAAGTGTTTATGTTAAATTTATTTCATATATTGAAGTATTAGTCACAAACAACAATGGCAATAAGGTTATGCTTTATATGTAATGACCTTCAGTTGCACCCTGTTAATTTTCTTCCTGAACTTTAAAAAGCATGTAACTCACTGTAAATCAAATATCAGTATTTTGCTTGTCAGCTTTTTTTTAATAGGCAGGCAATTTAAAGATGTTCAAAAATTTCCTTTCACCTATTCTCTATTAGGACTTTTAGGATGTTAGCAATGATTTCTAGGATTAAAAACCATGGCAGTGCCATTGAAATGTCTATTTTCTTTAATAATATTTTTTTGTAGATAAGATTCTGGATCCATCAACAGAGTTACATAGAATTAAAGAATTACCTCATCTCCACCAACAATTTTATAATGAATCTTTTACACTACCAAAAACAATACAAGATCAGGATAAAACTTGATTAATATATTGAATATAAAGTAAATATTACTGTATACACAAACTAAATCAATCTAACAGTGATATAGGAGACCTCCATCACAAATATAAAACTAAATATGATGGTGGTGAAGGTGATGGATTATCTGGTATCCTGTCTGAATCATTCTAGCCGAAACTGTCTCGGTATGATACACAAATTAGCTTGAATTGTCTATACAGTATCACATGAACTGTATAGGCTACATTATGAACAACTAGTTTTCATTACACATCTGAGGCTTGTTTATCTAGACCAATAATTGTAGTTAAGTCATCATTACTAAATGTCAGACCAGAGTAAAAAAACTCTTTAATAAATACAAGTTCAGATACAAGAAAATAAATATGATTTTGTTTAATTGGTATTATTTATAATTGAGGAATGTTTATAATGGGAAGTTTTTATAAAATAGTGCTGATTTCTCTAATGACTGATGAGGAGAATAAAATGGTTTATATCCCAGCAGTTGTCTTGATTTTTGTGGACTAAAGTACAGATTCATATTAATATATTTAACACTACACGACTGAGCTGGGAGACTCAGTTTTATCAGAGGCTTTAGCGCTTTCAGAACCAGCTCCATAAAATATAATGTCACATATACAAATTTCCATGGCAGATAGAATCGAGACAGATTTAGATTCTGATCTTTCAGAAAATAGTTCATGAAAGTAAATGTATTTTGGAGTGGTGTATCATCTGGCACAAAAAACACTTGTCCAGAAACGCGACATGGATTATTTTTTAGTGCTGCATCTGCACAAAGAAATGCCCAAGCAGCATTACCCACATAAGTTTGTTGAAATAGTGCGCTTCCATCACCCACACGTATCAGTACACCATTATTATCATGTGCGTTCCTCAGAGCTGTTGTGACGTAATATGGATCTCCTTCTCCATACATGACATTTGGCCTGAGTGAAATTGTATGAAGCTTCATACCTGCAAAAATAAAAAGAAACCTACATATATGTACATGTTAATTTCAAATACCAGTAATACAATTAATAAAACATATAACCCACTGTCCATTCCCCAAAAGTTATATGTCGACACTTCCCATCTGTCAAGTATTCCCGCTGAAATTTCATGTGGGAAGATATTGTTTGGCTTGTCTAAAGGAGGAAGCATGTTGATATTTAATTCAAATAACACAATAAATATATTACCCAATGCCCTTTTCAAAAAGTGCTTATATCATGATTTCCCATCAGCCTTGTATTATTCCTTTGTCGAAAAACATTTTAATATGCTGATATTTTATGTGAGAGTATATCTTAAAGATACATTCCCAGGTACAAACTGGGTGATTTGATGATATATTTGGACTAAAAACATATTGAAACTTATTAATTTATCATAATTTTGCATCAAATCCTTCTCAAAACATTGCAATTGTCGGGGAATACCCTGGTTATAAAAAATCGATCAAAAGAGGTCATGTTTGTGTCACAGGACTTACCTCTCTCGGTACCTAGCAACGCAAGCAAAGTCGGAGGAGAATTCATTGCACACACAAGATGATGTTGTCTTTAATCGCTGACTATTTATTATAAATATCGAAGCCTAATTAAATTTTCGGATTATCCATTGGCCGCGTCTTGATCCATGATTTTTATCTCAGAAAGTGTTGTACGTCTAATTCTTCATAAAGTTTATCAAAATGTACATTAAGGGCTCAATCTCCACGTGCAACCTTCGACGTCACATCTGCAGACACTCCTAATCGTCGGGCTGTCGATTAGGGAAACCCTTACATTTTTGTCCTGTATGCGCTCCTTGAGTGTTTTTTGGGGAATCCAGTATTTTTCTAGTAAGATTGGATATTTCTACTTTCCATATATACCACAATTGTCATACTTTTATTGGAAATAACCACCCGATAAATACTTTTCTGGGAACAAAGGTTTATGATCACCACAGGTCTCAGTTAAAGGGGAACTCTATCGAAATTTAACAGATTTTTGCAGAGTTACTGCAGAATGTCATTTGTGCATTGTAAATGTTTGAGATTTTTTCAATCATGCTGGGATTGCTTCACTATCGAAATTAAGGAGGGCATAGAATAGGATTTCGGTTGCAAACATAGGTGTATGAGCAGAGGGGGCAGGTCCCCCTCCCCCCAAATTTTGGGCAATCTGACATTTCGGACAAACAGGTAAAGTGAAAACAAAAATTATTATTTCTTCTAGTAGGCAAAATGAAGTGCCCGAATACTAATAAAACACTAATTTTACTTTTCTTTTAATTGAATACCACAGATTTGTACTAAATTTACTACAGATTAAAACATTTTGTCTGGAGCCACTATACTTTGTGCAACATTTTTCATGCATTGACTATTATTTGTGAATGAAGCTGCAACAGTCTGATTGAATGATTGGAATTCAGATTGGCATAGAGTGGGATTTCGGTTGCAAACCGATTGGAAACTTTGAAGTTGCTTATTTCACAGGCTAGAATAGCAGAAAAACGCGACAATTGATTGCTTGTTTGGAATTTCGGATTCAGGTAAATCACCTAAGGTAGGCTATATTGGACCACACTGAAGTTGCTGTATTCACAGGTTGGAATATGAGAAAAACCCATTTGCGGCAGTTAAATTTTCAAAATTTTCTCCTGACGGTCCCTTCTTCGTGGACGTGGACTGTAAACGATTGATTGGTTGATTGGAATTTGAATCCGCCACCTAAGTTTGGCGATATTAGACCACTTTTAAGTTGCTGTATTCACAGGGTGTGTGTCTTACACAGTAAGCTCCGCTCCTTTGCCTCTCGCAGACGATTGGCACCGCCTTTTGTAACCCGTCTGTAATTTTTTCGGGCATTTCAGTTTCTTCCCCCCAACATCCTTCGGGCCTGTACGCCTATGGTTGCATAGGCGCAAAATAAGGCTATATCGGAGAACTTTCTAGTTGCTGTACTATCAGGCTGGAATGGCAAGAAAACACACTTGCGTCCGTCTAATAATCTCATGATGTAAGTTCATATGGGTTAGGTATATTGCCTCAAGAGGTCCTCATTCAAATTATAATCATGGACCTAATAATATTAAATATACTCAGTGCCATATAATTATTTGTAAATATTGCTTTCAAACAAAGTGGATATGTAGTAAATACTCTTATCACTCAAAAAATAATTCAAGGAATTTATACCACTATTTAGTCTTGTTCCATTTGCCTCCAAAATGAGTCTTTCTGCTCTAAATTTAGTGTCTGGATAACCAGGGAAAAGAAAATCATCTGGTATACCAGTCTCTTCAGTACCGTTAGTGATATCTTTATGACCTATAACAACATCTACTGTACTACAGAATATCAGTCTCTCTATATTTTCTTTAATACAAGCTTCTATAACTGTTCTAGTACCTGCAATTATTACCATTTCAGAAATTATATTTAAATCATAGATTCACAAATTATCAAGACAATGGCAACATAAATTAGAGGGGGGTTTTGGTGGCCGAATCAAGGTCTGTCATTGAGTCAAGTGGTGTGGTTTCAATTCAATGCTTTTACGTGGCAACTTCATTGTTAATGACCCCTATGCTTAAGCGAATTATTGAAATAAAATTGGACCATATGTTAATCCCGAAATGACCAAGTGGACAATAGACCCCATTTCTCTCTCTCTCTCTGTTTGTTGAGGGAGGCAGCACAATATTTCTCGGTCAAAGAAATGAAATGAAACGAAATACTGGGCTAATGAAGACAGCCATACAGTGTGCTTTGAAGGAGAAGTGTCCTGGTGTGGTTTGGGACGGAAGGCCTGACAAGTGACAAGGACGAAAAACCGACGTACTGTGTACACATTGGCGTGCAAGAAGGCCACAGCACCGCTATCCTGGCAAAATTTCCCTCATAGCAGACTGCATGGTGTATGCCCAGTCAGTGCAGAAAAGTAGGACGTTAAGCCCTATTTCATATCATATCTTTAACAGTTGATATCCTATGAGGACGTAGGAATAATTACAGTAAAATATGATTATGTATTACTTCAATCTGACTGAAATTAGACAACCTATAAAATACATAGTATAGATCAGTACCTTCGATGTTGATTTTTTCCATTCCATTAATATCAGGAAATGTACCGTAACTAATTAGTCCTGCTACATGTATAACACTATCAGCTCCGTGTAAAGCTTGACGAACACCACAGATATCATTAACACTACTTAATATAGTTTTAGTAGGTATCAAATCATCATATTCTACAAGAAAATCAACATAAAACATTTGGGTTTTTAAAAAGTGGAACATCTAGATCTACTGTCTATGGACATTTTTCAAAGACTGGATTGAAGGAGTAGAAATAATCCCATCTTCAGCATATTTTTTTTTTACAATGTTTGACAAGATTTACCATAGTGCAGTGAGAGCATTCATTTATTGCCAACAATCAACCATCAAGCATAATTTCACAATAAAAGGCACAGCCTTTATGTCATTGGCATGGGTTCCACGTCGGCCATACATGTCGGTCAAGACCCAGGGCTATGGAAAATGACCATAACTAGATCTGACCCATCGGTCATTTTGTACACCGTAAAATGAGTATGTATATGTTTATGTGAAAAATTAAAGGAAAAAAGTATGAATGATATATGTAGCCAGTCTACCAGCCTGCCATAAGTATCTTTAAACTTATTATTAAATTTCTGAAACAAAATTTGGTTGTTAGATAATTCTGTTAAAACAATGGGTTGGTAGGACTGGGAACTGATTTGCTGTGGACTGTAACATCAAAAATTATGAAAAGTTACCGTACCCATAAATTTTTGAACTGGTTTTACATCTAATATACGTATTTCTCCTACATGTGCTGTATGTTGTTGTATTTGACGTACAATATGTTGACCTAAAAATCCTGATCCTCCGGTTATTACAACTATCTCTTTCTTCTCTGGTGTTAAAATGCTAAACAGAAAACAAATTCTTAATAAATGATTATAAACTAGGACCTCATTTACGAAATAAAAAAAAACAAGCCGATAGTGCAGCTAATGTTCACTGCCTCCATTCCAAAATGAATAGATGAAACTCAATAATTACTTTTTCTAAATTCAGTAGTAGTTTATTTTGTAGTATACCGGTATCCCATATAATTTGTATGAAATTAATGTCAAACTCTAATTTTAATTCAAAGCCATTTCTGCCAACTCTTCTTCAATTTCTAATTGTCAACTGTACACAATTGGATCTTGGTTTTGCATCCCATCTAAACGACTAGGCACACTTTCCCTGTCGGTCCCAAAGAAAAACTCCAGAGGTTTGCCCTTATCCTGTAACATTCTAGTCAAGAGGCCAGTATCCTACCTCTCAACAACCGCCAACTCCCTTTCCTCCAGTATATCGAAATCACAACCTTCAGGTCGAAATTCATATTGCAGGTGTGGCCACGTAGCAACCCAAAATGGGGTTCAAGGGACTTGTCTTTGGGTCAATTTTTATACGCCCACATTGAAATATGGTTGTATATTGTCATCGCCCCCCGTCCGTCTGGCCGGCCGGCCGGCGTCCACAGTTGCTTGTGGACACTCTAGAGGCTAAAGTTAATATCCGATTGACTTTAAATTTATACACAGTGTTCAAGGTCATGAGACGAAGAAGTCTATTGATTTTCAGCGATTTCCGATAATTACTGGCCCTTGATTACTTTAAAAAATATTGTGGACACTCTAGAGGTCAAAGTTAATATCCGATTGACTTTAAATTTATACACAGTGTTTAAGGTCATGAGATGAAGAAGCCTATTGATTTTCAGCGATTTCTGATAATTACTGCCAGAGTTATGGCCCTTGATCACTTCAAAAAATATTGTGGACGCTCTAGAGATCAAAGTTAATATCCGATTGACATTAATTACTGCCAGAGTTATGGCCCTTGATCACTTTAAAAAATCTTGTGGATGCTCTAGAGGTCAAAGTTAATATCCGATTGACTTTAAATTTATACACAGTGTTTAAGGTCATGAGACGAAGACGCCTATTGATTTTCAGCCATTTCCGATAATTACTGCCAGAGATTGACTTCAGATTGATAATTACTTCATCAGATTTTAGTGTATTATAAATGTTTCATAACTAAAAAAAAGTAAAAATATGCGACGACACTTGTTGACTGCCCGGACGATTTAGCTGCTGTGGGTGTATGTTTCGTTACCTGGCAACCTATCTTTACACTTATGAACACATATTTGAAAATACACTATAACAATGGTAATTAAGTTTGCATTCTTAAAATTTTGATTGACAGCTTGGGGATCTTGCTGGCTAAGTGGGTAAGACGCTGGCTCGCTAGCCTGGAGGTTGGGTGTTCGATCCCTGCATTGGCGAGAAAGTTCATTCAGATTTCCCGGCGTGGTTCCCCCTTGTCAGTGATGCAGGATGGAGGGCCTGACAAGGACAGCTGTCTAGTCATTCGGATGAGACGAAAAACCGAGGTCCCGTGTAGACATTGGTGTGCACGTAAAAGATCCCTTGACAGTTGGAATTTGATATAAGAGTAGGCCGTAGTGCTGCTGTCCGGGCAAAATTCCCCCTCATAGCACACTGTATTCTCGTCTTCATTAGCCCAGTTTGGAGCAGAACAGTAGGACGTTAAACCCCATTTCATTTCATTTCATTTCATTGACAGCTTAAGATTTAGGCCTGTCATTGAGTGTAAGTGGTTTTAATCCCATGCTTGTATGTCTAATTTCATGTGTTTTCTCCTACTGCTAAAGATTCAGTATTAAATTATTAAATAAAGATTTACCATGTTAGTCCCAAACATAAATCTAGTTTCTTTTGAGTGGAGGTTGAAATCTCTCTCAAATATAAGTGAATTTACCATGTTTAAAATTAAATTCTACTGATTATTATTTTCCCACTATAATAGCACATGTATTACTAAATATATATAATAAATACTCTAAAGTGCTAAATATATATATATATATACATTATATATACGTACTCTCCAGTGCTGAACATTTTCTTTAAATGAGTGGTCCTGTTTAGTAAAATTCTATTTCTCAAGAACATCTGAAATATTGGATAGAAAAAAAACCCATTAATAATGTGTACTTAAAAGGACAAGAGAAATCAATATAAATACATCTTTTAGCTAAGCTAATATAAACTTTAATAAAGGGAAAGTTTGTTTGTTTGCTGTTGAAAACAAACTGTTGAAAACAAAACTGTTGAACTAATAAATTTAAAACAACATCATAATAACCATTATATTTACACAAAATTTAATCAACATAAATACATCTCTTAATGGGAAAGTTTATTTGCTGTAGGAAAGCAAACTGTTGAACTGATAAATTTTAAATAGACTTCATAATAACCATTTTTTTACAAGAAAATTCATAAATACATGAGTAAATTTGTTTATTTATTCGCTATAGGAAACGAAATGGTTGAACTTATGAGTTCCAAATAACTTTATAATAAACAGATTTTTATTATTAATGGTGCTGTTTATTGTGTATTTGATGCTGTGTTTCATGATGAAATTAACGATTAATGATTACTGTGCTATTATGGATGAGATTAACTGTTCACAACATCAGTAAAACAGCTAGCAACAGATAGGCTTTTCAATTAATAAACAGAAATTAATTAAGATATTTTAGGCAGTAATAGTTTAGATAAAAAGTTAAATTAATATTATTTTATAAACGGAGAGAAACAAAGACAAGGTCCATGCCAGCAGAAAAGTATTTTATGCTAGCTCTCCATTCAATATCCATTCTGCATACAGAGAACTATCTACTCTTCTTCAAGAATAGATCTCTGCCCTAAATAGCCGCCATATCCAACAATTATTATACTGTTTTGTAATATGATCCTACTCCAGTTCACGTCTGTTATACACAAAAAGACTAATTAAACCTTTTCAATTTTATTACCGGTAAATAAAAGTAGAAAATATACTTTTCAAAATTCTCTAAACTTAGTGTTTTCAACTACAATTGTCTGTTCTCGAGCAGCGCTAATTGTAGACAGACACAGGAGAAGGGTCGCCTGTCCAACCTCGTGGGTTTTCTCCGGGTCCTCCGGTTTCCTCCCACTGCTAAAGACCCCTATGCGCAAGCGAATTATTGAAATAAAACAAAACCATGTTAGTCCCGAAATGACCTAGTTTGTGTCGAGTGGACGTTAAACCCCATTTCTCTCTCTCTCTCTGTAGACAGACAGTGTAAGTTTAGTATGTTCAATGTCAACACAAATTGCCACATATTTGTTAAAATCCAACTAAGTTGAAAGGTTTCTATAGAGAACTAAGTCCTGTGTTCACAATTTTTAAAACAGAAATGTTAACTCCACAAAAATGAGAATTCAGTGATTTAGGAGCGAAATATTCTTAATTATAATAGGGTTCTACCTTTTACATCAGTGAACAATCCCACTAAGCTTTATAAAACTGCATTGCAATCACAATCTCATTTAGTTTAAAATATTCCATCAAGAACTCTGTTCTGTGTATATAAGATTTCATATATTTGAATCAAACGAGGAAAAAACTAACAAATTTAAGATTGAAATTGGAAAGGGGTATCCCTAAGACCCCACTGATCAGTTTCATCAAGTGTTTCAAAATTCCATCATGAACTGTGTCCTGTTGCTCCTGTTCATAAGCTTTTAGAGTCAAAACATGACAGTAAAAAGATAGCTATATGTCTCAACAACAGATTATCCAAAAGGAAAACTTGGATGTTTCTCAAATTTAATAAGAATCTAACATCCTTCCAGAAATCTAATCACGATCGTATTCACAAGCTTTTCCGGACAAATAATATATCTCTGTAACAGAAAGTTTTAGATAGCTGAAAATCAACAGGATTCATCCTGGTCGCGGAATATCAGCTTCTATCGCTTTAACAAGGTTTTTGGCAAAGGCAAAGTATGTCAGGAACTGAAGATTGCAGAGCGCTGAAAATTGATGAGGTTCCATCCTCCCATATGACCCAGAGGCTTAACACCAAATTTTAAAACAATCAGGTAGCCTCTATTGTGCTGACAATGTTTTTTCGGCAAAGGGGGTATAACTCCTAAACAGGTTACGTAGCACTGAAAATTAATGAGATTCGTCCACTCATGAATCCAATGCTTCCCACCAAATTTGAATAAAATCTGTTAAAAATAACTATGTATGCAATGCCTGGAAATACACCCACACAGCAGTTATGGCTCAACTACAGCTTATCCGAAAGGAAAACTTGGATGTTGATCTAATTTAATAAGGATCCAACAGAAAAATTTAAAATCTGATCGAGTTCTTCCTTGAAAATGGATGCAGGTGACAACCCACTTTAATTTTGGACATATAAGATCAATACATACCACTCTTTATGCAGAAAAGTAGAACGTTAAACCCCATTTTGTTTCATTTTTCATTCAACAAATAAAAAAACTGATTTATAAGATATTTTAAAAAGTACAGCAATTGAGATAAAACATTCAACGAATATCTAACTTACCTCTTCCAACAGACAATGGTTTCAAATGATGTCTGCTAAGAGGCAGGTGGGATTTATATACGCTTTAGTTCTAACTATACTGTTACATTCAACACAAGAGAGATCAGGTGCAGAAGACATGGCCCCCCTCTGCTAGTCTTTTAGTAGGGGTGTTTAATACAGATTACACCGACACTTTTGGCTGATCCAATTACAGCACTTCTAGAATGACAGTAGTTTGACAAGTCTCACAAAAAGCCAGAATAGAAATTAATTGGTTATATCATTGCATGAACATAAAATGAGGTCCATAATATTTAAATATCAAGAATGACAAAAGACCACTTTCAAAGTGATTCAAGAACAACAAAGAATTCATATCAAGAATTTTTTTTATTTTTTGGAAGTAAGACCAATTTGTTTGATGAATCAGATTTCATATTTTTTAAAAAATATATATTCTATATTAAATATTCAAATTTTATAACTTCAACAAATAAATATCAAATTAACAATAAATGTAATCTGCTGAACATTCAGTAATATAGGGGGGTTGGATGGCCGAATGGTTAGCATGTGCGTGCTGTATCATAAGGCCTGTCATTTAGTCAACTGGTTGGTTTCGAATCCCCGGTTGTACGTGACAATGAGTAGGGTCGCCGTCAAACCTCATGGGTTTTCTGCGGGTCCTTTGGTTTCCTCCCACTGCTAAAGACCCCTATGCGCAAGCAAATTATTGAAATAAAAATAAACCATGTTAGTCCCGAAATGACCCAGTTTGTGTCGAGTGGACATTAAACCCCATTTCTCTCTCTTTCTCTCATTAAGTAATATGAAAAATCAATAAGATAGACAAGTTATAACTTTCATAACCTACAACATTTGCTATCATTTAAATATACAATAAATATAATTTGTAAACAATACCAGTAATAATAAAAAAAACTTGCTATATGAATAAATGGAATGTGACCATATTCAAATTACATATGTATGCAAATGTGCAAAAATTTGTTCAAATGTTACATTCCCAAAAAAAATCTTGTTCAGAAATCTATATAATAAAAAACGTATGACTGGAAAAAAAGAGAAATTAAATTGCACGAAAATGTATAACATAACTAAAAAAAATGAAATCAGAAAAATTGAACAACACCAAAGTAAACACAGATAGTAAATCATGATTTCTGTTTTGTGAGAAATTTTCATATTTAAATATACCAGTATTACACAAACAGAACTATCCAGATACCTGATTAATTATCTATATATTTTTAAAAATTTATTTAAATATCTTTATATTTCAAATATTTATCTAAACATCTTTATTTTTCAAATATTTATCTAAACATCTTTATTTTTAAATAATATTTAAATATTTTTATTTTCAAATAATTATTTAAATGTTTTTATTTTTAAATAATTATTTAAGTATCTTTATTAATTTAAATATCTTTGTTTTGAAATATTTATCTAAATATCTTTATTTTTAAATGTTTAAATATCTTTATTTTTAAATATTTAAATATCTTTATTTTTAGATATTTAAATATCTTTATTTATAAAATATTTATTTAAATATCTTTATTTATAAAATATTTATTTAAATATCTTTATTTTAATGTGTTAGTCATAAACAATTAAATATGAAATTCAATTAATTATTGAAAAAAGCAAGATCGTTATACACTGGAATGAGTAGAGATGTACATAACAATGTGTGAGATTTCTTTGAAAAATTTATGCGAATCAACAATAATCATTTGTTTGTAAATTTACTAGAAATTTAGTTGAATAATTTACAAGAAAATATAACATATGTACAATATGCGTCTAAAACTACATGCTCATCAATTATTACAATTTTAAAACTATATATAGTTCACAGATAATAAAACTTTTTCATTTGAAAAATAATCAGTTTCAGCTGTAATATGCAATTTATTATGAAAATATCAATATATTAAAATGAACCAATGCAATACACGTTTAGGATTGAAACCATCCTTATATAAATAAATAATATCATATATTGTAGTGCTGGGTATTGCCACTGCAGTCACGATACCATATGTATTGCAATTCAAGGGCTACAATATGATTTGTATCACGATTCACAACCAGGTCAATATATACCAAGAAAACAACAGGATAAATAAATAATTGATATTTTTAGTCCTGCAGATGTTGAGGAAATAAAACTGTTTCATAACACGATATTGATGTGGATCAAAACAATTCAAGAGTGTTTATGTACCTATGGATAATGTGTGACGTGGATAATTAAGAGTGACAGGTTACCTACTGAATCAACAAAAAAAAACTTAAAAAAAAGAAACATGATACATCGAATCAGTGTTTCGTGATTCAATACACAAATCTACTCAACAATATATCGTGCACTAAAAATATAGTGTAACTAGTGTCCAATACTACAAGTTGTATTTTAACATTAATTTTTTAAACATACAAAAATAATGAAACAGTAGTTTTTGTTTTCTTTACAGACTTCACAAATAAAAAACACTAAAACATTTTAGCTTACTGTTTTTCTACTGTGGACCAAACATGCTGATTCATCTAATATTTTCCTTCAAAATTTTTAAATGTATTGATAAATGGGAGTATTTTACTCAGACTAAACAATTTATATATTCTATATAATACTTGTGATATATCATGTTGTATAAACTAACAAAAATATATAATATAATTAGGGGTATATCAAAATATATAGTTATGTAAATAATCTCATATATGTCATACATGTATATGCCAATCAACAAAATGATCCAAAATCACCATGATGATTATTGTTTGTACATTTTATGCTTTTATATAATAAGGTGAAAAAAATATAAAATATGTAAATATTGAAAAAATTGTGATCAGCTGTTGTGGGTCCTTTATCTGTAAAATAAAATATGTTAGCCATTTTGAGCTTCCAGCATTTGTCTTCAAAAATGACCTTAATTTTAATTCCTCCAAAGCCAAAACTTACGAGTAATGCATGAAATCTGTCGGTTTTGGTATTTATAGAGTCTCACTTTGGTTTAATAATTTTCAATATTTTTTCTTAAAATTAATATTATTCAAAGCTAAATATATATCTCTGACATTTACATGTACTATGATAAATGTATATGTTACACATTAATTCAAATGTTTATTAAAGATACATTATGGGAGATTTTTACAGAGAATTGGCCATTCTTGCTATAACAGTTCAAAAGTAGATGATGAAAGAAGAATATTTTGAAAATTTCAGTCAAATTACTTTATTCTGAACATAGTTATCATCGTTGTAATATTTGACTAGAAATGGTAGTGAAGTGTGCCATCACCGTGGCTGATCGTTTGATTGACAGGCGTTAACTCCACCTACATATCTCGATTATCAAGTAAGGTTTTCAATGGCATGCGGAAACGCTCTACAGCGGCCTCGCTAAGTACACTCTATCATTTAGCCTCGATCTAACTGACGTATTCTCATCAGGATGCGCCATATTTGAATTAATTGATAAGTGAAATCCTATTTAAATCTGAGCTGTAGCCGAGCCATCCGTGGGTCTACAGAGTTGATTTTGGGCTTGTTGTTTAAATAAAGATCTAATTTATAATTTCTATAACATCTGAAGCCTAAATTAAGACTTGTAATAATCAGATTTTGCTCTTGCATAATGTATGTTTAATACAGAATTTTTGTTTTGACCAATTTGCCTCATTTAACAAGAGCCAGTTAGTGCAAGGGCTGTGCGATATTCTCGATATAGTCATTTATCGTGATATGGTATTTTCAGACCAACTACGATATCATGTGGCCAAAAATCGTTGATATAGTGGTTTATCGAATATCGCCAAAAACTTCAAATATCGAAAAAAATTCTCATAAAAATAGATAATAAATACACTATACAGCAGTGGAAATTAGCCAACAGTAATAAACTATAATAAAACTAATGTTTTGAGAATCTTTAAATGTTGAAAACACTTGCGCAGTGTCCGCAACCGTTTTTCACTGCATCGTGTATGCGTTACTTTTACTTTGTTTTTAGTCGACAATAAACTGTCAGTTGTTACTAAATGTAAAGCTTAGGCCTACTGAACGCCTGAAATTTCCCACTACCGTGGAAAATTACCAAGCTATAAATAAGTTGTCATATTTTTAAAAAACAAATATTTTTAGAAAACTCTACTAAACTTAATTTCTGAAAGCAAGAATAAAACGATCTATAAATAGATTACTGTCACTGTTAGGCCAGGAATACCGCAGCCAATCGAATGCTGGAATGGAAGATAGTCCGGATCATCTAGTATTTGTTAAACGGTTTGAACTTACAATACAAGACTTGAAGACCGCATCTACTTACTTCCGCTGCAGGTGATATTTGTGAATTTTCTTACACAAGGTCACAAGCAGACGCTTTTTAAACATCAGCGGTTGTATTTAATTTTTATCCAAAAAGGATGTTGTTTTGTTCATTTTAATAAATCTATATCATAAAAAAAGCAAAATTTAAAGTGTATGAATAAAGCAATTCTTGCCCACAAGTCTTACTCACACTGTAGTCAGCTTTAATGCATATATATTTAATTTATTTAATAGCAAAGTGACATATTATTAAATATCGCGATATTTAACTATATCGTTGAAAAAAATGCCAATATCGATATCATCCCTTTTTGCAATATCGTACAGCCCTAGTTAGTGCCAGTAACAAAATACTAGAATCAGCTGGTATATGCCATAAGTTTTCTGATTATAAAATAATACAAGCTATTTTATATCTTGGAATATGCCCATCAAAATAATCATACTAATCAATGATAAAATGGCACTCCAGCTTTGATCTAGGTCAAAAATAAAACTGCCTATTTCAATGTATTTTTATACGTTGATTCGTTCCATCGGATAATAATCTGTCATTTTTTAAAGTTTTAGATCCATAGATAAAGCTCGCTTGAGATATAACCAGATGTTACATCTGTGTCCAGTTCTAGTTATCATTCAAAACTAGAGCTTGTCCGAACACCAATTGAAATACTTATTTTGACCTTAATCGAAGTGGTCTAGCTCATTTCATTTTTTTCAAAGATAGGTTGCCAGGCAACAAAACATATACCCACAGCACCTATGTTATCTGAGCAGTCAACATATATTTTTTTGTTCGGTAATGAAACCCTTTACAAGACACTAAAACCTGATTAAGAGTAACAACCCTTTAAACATACATTATGCAAGAGCAAAATCTGATTATTGCAAGTCTTAATTTAGGCTTCAGATGTTATAGAAATTATAAATTAGATCTTTATTTAAACAACAAGCCCAAAATCAACTCTGTAGACCCACGGATGGCTCGGCTACAGCTCGGATTTAAATAGGATTTCACTTATCAATTAATTCAAATATGGTGCATCCTGATGAGAATATGTCAGTTAGATCGAGGCTAAATGATAGAGTGTACTTAGTGAGGCCGCTGTAGAGCGTTTCAGCATGCCATTGAAAACTTTACTTGATAATCGAGATATGTAGATGGAGTTAACGCCTGTCAATCAAACGATCAGCCACGGTGAAGGCACATTTCACTACCATTTCTAGTCAAATATTACAACGATGATAACTATGTTCAGAATAAAGTAATTTGACTGAAAGTTTCAAAATATTCTTCTTTCATCATCTACTTTTGAACTGTTATAGCAAGAATGGCCAATTCTCTGTAAAAAATCTCCCATAATGTATCTTTAAGTAATTATCATGAATCATTAGAATTTGTTGGCTTCTCTAGCTGGTTCTGCCCAATGCTAACATTCATTATATAAAGCATGTAAATATCATGAACTAAGCTGTTTAAGTTATCAGAAATCCTTGAAAATCAAACAGCTTCTTTATCTCATGAACATTAACATTGTGCATTTTCAAGTCAATAAGATGTTGACTTCGGTCTCTAAAGCATCAACAAGATTTTTCAAATTGATCAAAGGCCGTAACTCTAGCTTCTTCGTCTTATAACCATAAACCCTGTGTATACAGGTAAATTTAATTTAAATCAGATATTAACTTTAGCCTCTAGAGCGCCACAAGCGACTATGGGACAGACTGACAGAGTTGATGACAATATACGACCATATTTTGATTTGGGCATACAGAAAGGCTAATTACCTCCTACTCCTAATAACATTTGAGAAAGGGAAAGAGCAACAGCTAGATTATTGACATTGTGATATCAATATAATCACACTTTGTAAAAACATCTTCAGTTTTCTGGTACATTAATACCATTCTGTTTTAGTATATCTTGAAGTTTCTGTATGGTGGACATCATCTGTGTGAGTTTTTTCTCACATTCTTCTCTCAGTGCTACCTCATGCTCTATTTTACGCTGAGCCTGAGCCTTTACAGACATCACTATCCCTGTAAAATATTACAAACAACATTGGAATAAAGTCATTCAAACTCTCAGATCTATGATAGTTGCCAATTGTTGAGACAGGGAAAAGATGCTCTGTGCTACCCTTTTAAATATATTTATTTTAAAAAAATATAAATCATAACCATAAAGCCATATCTTATCACCGGTAATAAGACTAGGTCCTCAACATTTGATAGTGTTTAGTCAGGGCTAGTGTCAGAATAGCTCAGTTCTGTTTTGAAGGGAGTGTCCAATCTTTCAAAGGATTTGGAGGACTTAAGAGCCCTTGCCCCTCAAAAAGGCTAAACGTGTGAATACTTGGTGCGATGAATGTTCTTGTAATATAATTATGCCATATTTTCCCCATGGTACTCCACTCCTCTAATGTATGTCAACTCAAGAGTTCTAGAACTATATCATAACTAAATTCCCAGTAGATTAGATATTATATGTGACAGTTATTATGGAGATGATATGGAGAATAAAAATTGCTCAATATTTTAAAGAAATGTCTGTAAAAACAGGGGGTTTAATTTCTCTGACCTTTGACTTTTTTCATTCCAACAAAAAAAATAAAGAGTTTAACACTTAATTATCGGGTCCTAGGACTTGTGTAAGTATACACAAGAACTTCACAACACTTGTGGAGATTAGGTGATATTGCCTGCAGAACTAAAATCTGCCTTAAATTGACACATGCTATAGTAACATTCAAGATTATATAATAGATTTACCATTTAATATTCTGGTGACTCGCCACAATCTTAACACAACCAATAAACCAACACCAGTTGCTGAACCTTCTTGATTACGGAACACAATGTCAAGTATGAATGACACAATGACAACAATGGCATCAAAAACTTCCAACTTGTGCTTGAAAAATTCTAATCTCATAACAAAAATACGGACACCAATTTCAACCATGAACAAAGACAGAACTGTTATACTGAGGTAATGAAGAACTTTTGGGGCATCATGATTTTCTTTATCTTCCAGTTTTACTACATCCAAGTCAATGAGTAACTCTGCAATTACCAGGATACAATCCAAGACAACCAGTACTACGACAGCAATATGGAATTTTTGTGAATGTATGATTTCTGCAAGTCTTTCTCTGATTGTTGGGTCGGGTTTGATAATTGTTTTTGGTTTATTGGAGTTGCTTTTATCTATAGTTGAATTTGTGTCATCTTTTTCAATGGCTTTTTCGAGTTTATCTTGAATTTCGTTAAATTGTTCCATTTTCTGAAATTACCAAAAAATAATACATATAAATAAGCCTTCGTTTATGTGCACCTCATCTCATCATTTGGACATTTGAGTTTCAAATAGACGTGAAATGAAATGAAATGGAGTTTAACATCCTACTGTTCTGCTCCTAACCTGGGCTAATGAAGACGGGTCAAATAGACGTAACTAGAACGTCTAGAGTTTGAATCACCATCAGGAATGTCTGATTTCACTTAATGATCCAAATTAACAGGATCCAACAAGGCTTAATAAAGAAGTAAGTCTAGTCATTTAATTTGAAATCTAATTTAATTATAAATTATTATTTCAATTCATATCTTTAGGTTCTGATTTCCTACTTTAACAATGTATACGATCTGGCACATTTTCAGATTGAATGTCGTTCGAATAACTAAACTCGGCTATCTTAATCAAGTGAGTTCATAAATAAACAGATATATGAATGATGTCTTGGAGGGTCGCTACATATATGACTGGATGTACTGCGTTTATTATTATTAGGTATAGGAAATGTAATTATATCGTATTGAAACTGGGTCATAGACTTTTGTTATTAACATAACATGTTGAATTAGCGCTAACCCTGTTTATATCTTGTGACCAATGACGAAAATTGAGCTGGCCTTATCATTTACCCAAATCCACCATTATTTCATCTTGTATAATAATAATTTATATCTATAATATTATACTGTTATTTATGCCAAATTGTCATTTTTAATTTTAATTCATAACGTTTTTGTTTTAAAAATGCCCCTAAAAATGCCCAAGCAAGCGAAACGATTTCCTGCAATACACAAGTTATGTCCCTTGGTTACAACTTCCAAACCTGCTTCAAAATCGTATTTTGAGAAGCAATGTTAACACAAAAACACTTCAATTTTCAATTAAAAATGACAATTTAGCATAAAGAACGGTAGATCTATATTATCAAATATCGATAAATCTATTATTTATTGTGCTATCATAATGATAGTTAAAATAATGGTGGATATGGTTACAACTTCCAAATCACAATTCATGAGGTATTCTAACACAAAAAATGTTATGACTGTACATTAAAAATGACATTTTGGCATAAAGAACCATATATTATCAAATATAGATATAATTTTGAGTTGAAATGGTGGATCAGTGGGTAGATTTGGGTGCTTTTGGGTTGGTGGTTTGGGTAAATCGTGCTATTCTTCAATGACAGTGACACTTTTTAGTCAGTTAATTAAAATGAAACTTTATAAAGACCTCAAATTAAAAAGGAAACAATTCCCGTTTATCTCCTAATTCAACATTTAATTCATTTGAATCAAACTGTTGTTTCCTGCTTTCATTAGCAGCTTTGCAGAACTTTTATAAGTTTATAACACGCCCCTTTCCTGCCGGATGTTATCATAAAAGCGGTGTTCATGCAAATCGTCCCGAAATTGGGTAGTTGATGGTTGAGTCGATCAGAAGTATTGATAACATTATATTTGGAAAACTATTTTCTGAACATGAATAAATCATAATAATGAGTTCACTTCGGCGCTATTGCACTTTCGTACCTCTACCAGTTCCCGTGGTCGTAGGAACTTGAAATTTTCAGAGGATGTTCAGGGGGACTAGCAATGACCACACACCAAATTTCAGCCGAATTGATCAATAACTTTTTATTTTACCGACCTTTTAATTTCTAACGAGAGAGAGCTTCATCCGTTTGACGCCATTTGCTTTGTTTACTATTTAGACTCGAATAACAAGACACTAAGACGGAAACCGACTCGAATAACAAGACACTTAGACGGAAACCGACACACTGCACCAGCTGCCTAACACTGCAGTTCATAAAAATTAATATAATTTTCGTATACTTTAATTTTTGCGCGAAGCCACCATTTTCAATAAAATACTATTTGGTGTTGATCAGTGGATTGGCCGTTAGGTGTAAATATTGCCGTGACCTTGATTTTGACCTTGAGGCCAAACTTCCCACCCATATCGGGGCCTTTGCGTTTATGCTTGCCGTGGCCTTATTTCTAACTGTATTATCAAAGTTAATGTTCGAGGTTAAAGCAGAGACGACGTCCTCCAGAAAAGATAATTGGGTCAAAGTCGTAGGTCAAGGTCACTACAATCGTATCATGAGGTCAGATGAATCAATTACATTGACCGCGCCTATTGACTTCCTTTCGAACACAGACCCTCTTCGTTTGATCGTTTTCTGACCGAGCAGTGTGCGACAGGACCAAGGTAAACGTCGATGGCTGAAGCCCAGATGATGGCTGTTTAAAATAGTTAGGGGGTCAAGGTCGTAAGTCAAGGTCAAATGTCCCAAAAATGACTTTGAAAAGTTTGAGTTTATTTTTCTGTAACATGACCTTGACCTACGACTTTGACCCAATTATATTTTCTGAAGGACGTCGTCTCTGCTTTCACCTCGAACATTAATTTTGATAATACAGTAAGAAATAAGGTCACGGCAAGCATAAACGCAAAGGGCCCGAGATGGATGGGAAGTTTGGACTCAAGGTCAAAATCAAGGTCATGGATGGTTAACGGTGACTAATGGAGGTCACCACGACCTTTCACATTGACCACGCCCATTGACTTCCTTTCGGACACGGGCCCTTTGCGTTTGACCCTTTTCTGACCGAACAGTGTGCGACAGGACCAAAGTAAACGTCGATGGTTCAAGCCAAGTTGATAGCCTTCGAAAATGGTTACGGGGTCAAGGTCGTAAGTCAAGGTCAAATGTCCCAAAACTGACTTTGAAAAGTTTGAGTTTAGTTTTCTGTAAGATGACCTTGACCTACGACTTTGACCCAATTATCTTTTCTGGAGGACGTCGTCTCTGCTTTAACCTCAAACATTAACTTTGATAATACAGTTAGAAATAAGGCCACGGCAAGCATAAACGCAAAGGCCCCGATATGGATGGGACGTTTGGACTCAAGGTCAGAGTCATGGTTACGGATGGTTAACGGTGACTAGTGGAGGTCACCACGACCTTTCACATTGACCACGCCCATTGACTTCCTTTCGGACACGGACCCTCTGCGTTTGACCGTTTTCTGACCGAGCAGTGTGCGACAGGACCAAGTTAAACGTTCATGTTTCAAGCCAATGTGATAGCCTTCGAAAATGGTTACGGGGTCAAGGTCGTAAGTCAAGGTCAAATGTCCCAAAACTGACTTTGAAAAGTTTGAGTTTAGTTTTCTGTAAGATGACCTTGACCTACGACTTTGACCCAATTATCTTTTCTGGGGGACGTCGTCTCTGCTTTAACCTCGAACATTAACTTTGATAATACAGTTAGAAATAAGGTCACGGCAAGCATAAACGAAAAGGGCCCGAGATAGATGGGAAGTTTGGACTCAAGGTCGAAGTCAAGGTCACGGATGGTTACAGGTGACTAGTGGAGGTCACCACGACCTTTCACATTGACCACGCCCATTGACTTCCTTTCGGACACGGGCCCTTTGCGTTTGACCCTTTTCTGACCGAACAGTGTGCGACAGGAACAAAGTAAACGTCGATGGTTCAAGGCAAGGTGATAGCCTTCGAAAATGGTTACGGGGTCAAGGTCGTAAGTCAAGGTCAAATGTCCCAAAACTGACTTTGAAAAGTTTGAGTTTAATTTTCTGTAACATGACCTTGACCTACGACTTTGACCCAATTATCTTTTCTGGGGGACGTCGTCTCTGCTTTCACCTCGAACATTAACTTTGATAATACAGTTAGAAATAAGGCCACGGTAAGCATAAACGAAAAGGGCCCGAGATAGATGGGAAGTTTGGACTCAAGGTCGAAGTCAAGGTCACGGATGGTTACAGGTGACTAGTGGAGGTCACCACGACCGTTCACATTGACCACGCCCATTGACTTCCTTTCGGACACGGGCCCCTCTGCGTTTGACCTTTTTCTGACCGAGCAGTGTGCGACAGGACCAAGGTAAACGTCCATGATTCAAGCCAAGGTGATATCCTTCAAAAATGGTTACGGGGTCAAGGTCGTAAGTCAAGGTCAAATGTCCCTAAAACGACTTTGAAAAGTTTGAGTTTAGTTTTCTGTAAGGTGACCTTGACCTACGACTTTGACCCAATTATCTTTTCTGAAGGACGTCGTCTCTGCTTTCACCTCGAACATTAACCTATACAATACAGAAAGAAATAAGGCCACGGCAAGCTTAAACGCAAAGGCCCCGATATTGATGGGAAGTTTGGACTCAAGGTCAAAATCAAGGTCACGGCAATATTCACACCTAAAGGCCAATCCACTGATCAACACCAAATAGTATTTTATAGAAAATGGTGGCTTCGCGCAAAAATTAAAGTATACGAAAATTATATTAATTTTTATGAACTGCAGTGTTAGGCAGCTAGTGCAGTGTGTCTGTTTCCGTCTTAGTGTCTTGTTATTCGAGTCTAAATAGTAAACAAAGCAAATGGCGTCAAACGGATGAAGCTCTCTCTCGTTAGAAATTAAAAGGTCGGTAAAATAAAAAGTTATTGATCAATTCGGCTGAAATTTGGTGTGTGGTCATTGCTAGTCCCCCTGAACATCCTCTGAAAATTTCAAGTTCCTACGACCACGGGAACTGGTAGAGGTACGAAAGTGCAATAGCGCCGTTCACTTCGGGGTGCACACTTGCGGAAAATCATAACGAGGAAATAAGTCTTCTTTAGTTGAATCAAGAAAATACAACACACTAATGTCGACTAAATAATCTGGACTACTAAATCGCGGGAAAGAGTTACTCAAATAGTAAGTGGAGCAGGACTGACTGCACCTCACAAAACCAAAATTATGAGAAATGAAATGAAATGAAATGGGTTTTTTTTTTAACTCTCTTCTGTTCTGCTCCTAAACTGGGCTAATGAAGACGAGCATACGCCATACAGTGTGCTATGATGGAAATTTTGCCCAGGCAGCGGCACTACGGCCTACACTTATTGAATTCCAACTGCCAAGGGATCTTTTTTTACATGCAGGCTAATAGGGTATGTACAAGGGACCTCGTTTTTCGTCCCATCCGAACGACTAGACAGCTGTCCTTGTCAGACCCTCCATCCTCCATCACTAACAATATGGAGAAACCACGCCGGAAAAACTGGATACCAAACTTATGAGACAAACCTGCGGACAAGACACAAAAACTACACTGACATTGCAAGCAATAAACAGTAAAAGTATATCAAATCAAGTGAATGCATGGGTACGGGTGGAGGTAGTTCAGCTCTGAATGTAGGTCTCATTACACTCTACAGGCCGTGTGTAATGAGACCTACGTTCAGAGCTGAACTAGGGTGGAGCTAGGTGGATGTCCAGAGTCTGTGATAAATCTTCACTCAATATGAAAACAAACTCACAAAATTTCAAATTTGAGTACAACAGAAAACTCAGCTCAGCTGTACATTAACGTATACGTATTAGGCTACTCAGCCTATTGGTACTGAAAAATACCGAAAAAACGTCTTTTGATCCTAATACTGAACAAATCTGAAAAACCCTTTATACTGAAAAATCACTTTAAAGTAGCTAAGTTTCTCACTTAATATTATCCAAAGTCTTCAACATTGAAAACGCGAATTATTTGTCAATTTAAATCAACACTGATTTTGTGATCTTTGACTACCGGGAAAATATGGGCTTCTGATATCTAATGTTTAAGACAAAATAAACATTTTACCATGGGTACACGAATCGTGTACCATAATACGTTTCAGCACCATTTGTAACTAGAGACTCAAAAAACGAGGCTAGACATATTCTATGAGTTATGCCAAACTTGACATCAAATTCTTAGCTGGAGAGCATGCGCAAAAAATGCTATCAGTGTAGACTGGAATAACTTCACGCTAGAGATTGCAATTCGATTGAGACGTCTGATGTATTTCGCCTAACATAATTGATTAGAAATTAGAGTAAAAACGGAAACGATCGAATGTAAATCAGTTTATATACATTCATATTACATTATTATATGGGTTGCGACCTATTTGTGTCAATTTCTTGGTCCCAAATATTAACGATTTAGCTCCTTTAAATACTGAAAAAACAAAACTAACAAAAAAAGACTAAATACCAAATTATATGTATTATTATTATGTACTGAAAAATAGGGATCCCACGATTGGGTTTCCGGGCTCCTTGCATTGGCTCATTATAGCACTTTTTAAAATTCTGATTGGGAGGAAGGCCAGGAAAAGATGATGTCACACAAAATGACGGCCTATGGAATGCAAAAAAATATTTCTGTACATTTTGCCCCAGATCGCAGCTAATACAATATGGATTTTCATGAAAATTAAATATGCTAACAACCTGTATTGGGATGTTTTCTAACTAGTTCATATAGAAAATACCGTGCTGAATGATGTAAACGTGAGAAATTACTGTCCGATAAACAATAACCCTAACCATGACCTACCAAGAGTGCCCCACAAGTCTTATATAATGTGTGACCTAGAGTGCCCCACAATTTTTATAAGTGGCCTAGCCTGACCAGTGACCCACCTACAGTGCCCACAAGTCTTATGCATGACCTACTGTGATCCATGACCAACCTAGAGAGAGAGAGAAATATGGTTTAACGTCCACTCGACACAAACTAGGTAATTTCGGGACTAACACATGGTTCAATTTTATTTCAATAATTCGCTTGCGCGTAGACGTCTTTAGTAGTTGTAGGAAACCGGAGTACCCGGAGAAAACCTACAAGGTTGGACAGGCGACCCTACTCCTTGTGACATACAACTGGGGAATTGAAACCACGCCAGTTGACTCAATGACAGACCTTATGATACAGCGCGCACATGCTAACCAATCGACCATCCAACCCCCCCCCCATGACCAACCTAGAGTTTCTCACTATATTTATGTGTGTTCTACCTTGACCCACCCATTACCCCCCTGGAGTGTCCACCATTTTCATGTGTGACCTAGAGTTCCCCACAATTTTATGTGTGGCCTAGCCTGACCCATGATCTGCCAAATAATTTTTGTACATGGCCTAGGTTTTTTTTCGTTAATTTGTGTTGATTTTTCTGTATTTAGGGTTTTTCAGATTTTTTCGGTCATCACTATCAAAAAATGTTTTGCAGTATTTTTCAGATCTTTTTTGGTATTTTTTTGATTTTTATACAGCCGAAAAATACAAGAAAGACAAAGATGCAAGTGTTGTCATTGCATTTTGATAATCTGACAATGGACGTCATAAATTATGTCAAAAGAAGTTAACAAGAAGATGTTTGCCATTACCAATTTAACTCAGATAAACCATCTATCGTATCAAATATTATATACCACTGAAAAATTCATAAAGACACTCCTGAAAATGCCAACATAGCCCTGATGAAACAAACATGTTTTTGATATTTCAGATGTTTAATAAAATGAACAAAAACCAAGATGTGTCTTAACAATAATTATCAACTTATAAATAAAATAAGTAAAGACTGGCATGGATTATTGAAGGCTCTATCAAGTCCAAATAATCAACTGAAAGCTGCTGAGGATTGGATTAAAGATGTTATGTCCTGTGGATATGAAACCAAACCAAATTGGACAACCTTACTGTCTGAATTGGTGGACATAGAACCGAAAGTTGAAACTGACCAATTAGTTTTGTAAGTATAATATAATTAGACTTTTAGTAATGGGTTAGGCCATTACTTATTAGGGCCTACTTGGTTTTGTTTGTAATTTGCCCCAGAATAGCAAAAGCCAACAGGTCCGACACAGCTTACATTCTATAGAATGTATTAAGAGCATCAGTAGTTTTCTGGCATTTTGAAACAAAATCAATTTTAGCCAAAACATATTTTATGCATGAAAGCTGAAATGAAGTTCTATTTCTTGATAATACTCAACAAATAAATCTGGACAACATCCGACTTAATTCTATTATTCACTAATACACCACAATGCGATTAAAATACAGATTTATTTTTCGTTTCATTTTTAATACGCCCACATTTTCATGTGGACGTATATTGTCGTCGCCCCTGTTCGTCCGTCCGTCCACAATTGTTTGTGAACAGTTTACAGGTCACAATTTTTATCCGATTTCAATGAAACTTTAAATATAGGTTTATCACCCTAAGATCTCGGTTCCTTTCGATATTGGCATGTATCGGACTGTAACTTCATGGATTATGGCCCCTGATTGTACGAAAAATCACGTTTTTAGCTTGTGAACACTGTAGAGGTCACAATTTTTATCCGATTTGGTTTAAACTTGAAATGTATGCTTATAACCCAAAGTTCTCGGTTCCTTTCGATATTCGCACATATCGGATTGTAACTTCCTGAATTATGGCCCCTGATTGTACGAAAAATCGCGTTTTTAGCTTGTGGACCCTATAGAGGGCAAAATTTATATCCAATTTAAAAAACCATATTATTATATCACCGTTGCACCCTAAGAACGGCTGAGTTCGAATTTCGTTAAAATCGGCCCAAAACTGACAGACAAAATGGCCGTCGTTCGTTCTCAAATAGCGTAAAAATATGGTATATCAAGGTTGTGGACCCTATAGAGGTCACAATTTTTATCCGATTTTGTTGAAACTTAAAATATAAGTTTATAACCCAAAGATCTGGGTTCCTTTCAATATTTGCACATATCGGACCGTAACTTCCTGAATTATGGCCCCTGATTGTACAAAAAATTGCATTTTTAGCTTGTGGATCCTATAGAGGTCATAATTTTTATCCGATTTAAAAAAACGTATTATTATATCACTGTTACACCCTAAGGACAGCTGAGTTCGAATTTCGTGAAAATCGGCCCAAAACTGACAGACAAAATGGCCGCCCTTCGTTCTCAAATAGCGTAAAAATATGGTATATCAAGGTTGTGGACCCTATAAGAGGTCACAATTTTTATCCGATTTTGTTGAAACTTAAAATGTAAGTTTATAACCCAAAGATCAGGATTCCTTTAGATATTTGCGCATATCAAATTGTAATTTTCTAAATTATGGCCCTTGATTGTAGGAAAAATCACTTTCTTTTTAGCTTGTTGTCTATCCATCTCTCGAAAATGTGGGCGTATCCTGCCTGGCAGCCGCTAGTTATACTCTCAATGGACTTCACAGGTGCATGTTCAAGAATTTTGAACAGCAGGGGGTCCAAGGTGGAGACAACGTCAACTTTGGAATGAGGTCTGGGAGATTACCTGAGAATTATATAAAATCAGAAGCTCTGAGACAATATTTCTGCCCATTTAAGTGCATACATGTATAAGATTTAAGTGGAGGGAGGCCCAGTTGGTGGCAATGCTTTGCATGGTTTTTTGTTGACTTTATTTCGATGATTGTAGGAGAGAAAAATGTGCTCTGTCAGAGCAGACAAGGGTTCGGACATGCACCTGCTTCACTACATTAATGTCTGACAAGTTGTTGTTGGAGGTCTTGTCAGGGATCAGGCAAGCAACTTTAAATCCTGTAAAATCAGTCATTTGATTAATAACCAATCAGTGTCAGTGTTCCTAGTGGCTATTTGGATATACAACTTTTGCTTTGTTTTGTTTTCTATCACTACAAATGTCTACCCACGATAAGAACTAGACCCAACAGACACATTACCCAGAATGAAGGTTTTTTAACAACTCTTCCAGATCCTGGTGTACTTACACACTTGTTAAATATTAAATGTTACCCACAGATAAATCATCCGAAGCTCCATGGTCCTGTAGCTGTTTTGGAAAGTTCAAGTTTATCTTTTTTTAAAACTTATTATGGTAGGCCTATTATGAACTATTTTGTTAAACAACCTTTTATTTTCAGTAAACCAAGAATTGTACTGCTGTCTTCAGACATACAGCGCCTTCTAATGGCAGTTTTCTTCCATCATCGTCACTCTATTTCTTGTACAGCTCTTCATGTTTTTCTAACCAAGATAAAACCCCATCTTCGTTCTGAGTCGTGGATGATGAAATTACATGTCATGCTAACCAAGCATGTACAGAGTACAGTAACAAGTTTATCCATGTATAAATTTTCCTGGTGCAATAGTCAGCTGTATCAGAGCCTGTTAAAGTCTTTAAAAAATAGTGAAGACCACATTCCTTGGCAGAAAAGTCAAGCCCAGTTATCAGGTAGGTGTTATCTTTAATGTATAATCTATTTAAAAACTATATTTATCTTCTTGCTTCTTTTTATTTTGGTAGCCATGGTGGCTCAGTTAGTAAGGTGCTGGCTCTATTATCAGTAGGTCCAGGGTACAAGAAATTTCCTCAGTATTTTCCAGCCTGGTTTCCCCTAGTCAGTGATTTAGGATTCAGGATGGAGGGCCATTTGGATGGGCCGAAAACCAAGGCCCTATGTACATATTGATGTGCATGTAAAAAAAAACTTTGCAATTGGAATTCGAAGAAGGGTAGGTGGAAACATTTTCCTCACAGTATACTGCATGGCATATGCATGTTTTCCTTAGCCCGGTTGGGTGTAGAAAAGTAGGACAATTCCTTGATTCAATTCCCTACACAAGTGGTTTTTTAACAACCATAATTGGTTTATTAATATAAACCTTTAGTTTTAGGATTATATTTGTTATTATTATATGCCCACATTTTCATGTCTGTCCACAATTTTTATCTGATTTTGATGAAACTTGAAATATAGGTTTATATCCCAAAGATCTCGGTTCCTTTCGATATTGGCATGTATCAGACCATAACTTCAAAGACTATGGCCACTGGGGATCACGTGGCTAAGTGGGTAAGACGCTAGCTCGCTAGCCTGGAGGTCGGGTGTTCGATCCCTGCATCGGTCGAGAAAGTTCATCCAGATTTTCCGGCGTGGTTCGCTCTTGTCAGGGATGCAGGATGGAGGGCCTGACAAGGACAGCTGCCTAGTCCTTCGGATGAGACGAAAAACCGAGGTCCCATGTATATATTGGAATGCACGTAAAAGATCCCTTGGCAGTTGAAATTCGATATAAGAGTAGGCGATAGTGCCGCTGCCCAGGTAAAATTTCCCTCATAGCACACTGTATGGCGTATGCCCGTCTTCATTAGCCCAGCATAGGAGCAGAACAGTAGGACGTTAAACCCCATTTCATTTCATTTGACGAAAAATCACGTTTTTAGCTTTTCGACACTTAGAGGTCACAATTTTTATCTGATTTTGATGAAACTTAAAATGTATATTTATGATTGAACTATGATTCCGATATAATTAGCCATTTACTTTGTTGCCTTTTTAATGTCATGGGTTTCTCCAGTTCCCCCCCCCCCCCTCGCCCAGCGAAGTAAACAAACTACATTTTAGTCCCCAAAGGACCCTGCATTAAAGATACATTATGGGAGATTAGATAAAGAGCTGGCAGTTCTCACTATAATAGTTAAAAACTAGATAATGTAAAGGGAATTTGCTGAAAATTTCAGTCAAATTGATCCACTCTGAATCAAGATTTTAGCAATTGAATTTTTGGCCTAGCCTCCTCGATCATCATTACAAAATGTGGTAGGATAAAAAACATAGTCGACCAGCAAATCGGAAGCTAATCAAATAAACATCGCAGGCTAACATTGACATCGAGAGTTAATTATGGTTTGGATACGTTAATTATTGTCTAATTAATAATTTAGATAACATTTCAGACCTAAAGAAAGACCTGCAATAGGCAGATTTAGCTCTTGCATAATGTATGCTTAAGTGAACATCAAACCTAATTTCCCAGAAAGATTATTATCGGTTAACGTGTGTGCGTTGCATAACAAGGTCTGTCATTGAGACAAGTGGCACGGATTTGATTTCCTGCTTGTACGTGACAAGGAGTAGGGTCGCTTGTCCAACCGTGTGGGTTTTCTCTGGTTTCCTCCCACTGCTAAAGACTCCTACGTGCAAGCGAATTAATGTATTAAAATTGAACCATATGTTAGTTTGACTAACTTAGCCCTGAAATGACCTTGTTTGTGTCAGGTGGAGGTTAACCCCATTTCTCTCTCTCTCTCTCTCTCTCTCTCTCTTTCTCTCAATAATTATGTTGTGTAATTATTATTAATATTTTCTGTAGAATTATTCTGCTGTCTGGATAAAGATGATGTAAAGTTTTCCCAAGAAGAAAGTTCCAATTTATATGACAATGATGTTGAAATGATTGAACACAATTACAAACAATCTGCTAAAGGTATTACATGCGGCGATTCTGTTCAAAGTGTAAACAGCCCAGAAAAGTTAACCCCAATCGTTTCTCAGATGTCTCAATGTATTGTTATATCATCATCATCTGAAGAAGAAGAAGAAGAAACTGAACCAAAAAATTCTGGTACAAGGAAGAGAAAGCAACAAGATTCTCCTGAAGAACCTCCAGCAAAAAGAACTAGGGAAGCCTCAGGTATTGGGATTTTTTTGTTTTATTTTTCATGCCCTGGCTTATATTTAAGTAATGATCCGTAGATATAATATCATGTACAATCTGATTAAAATCATGATGTTGTACTACATTATTCACATCTGAGATATTTTCTTTGATGACAACAAATTATCTGCATTGGTGTATTGTGGGAATTTGGGTTATAGTATTACTGGTTGATACTCATCAAAAAAGTAGGGGATATTGAAATGCAAATACCTATGCAGGTAGGTTGTGATATGATAAATAGTCATGGACACTTGACATGCTTTGAGACTGTGTTCACAGATGAAGAACTTATCGCCCCAACAGAATCACTCAGCTGCATGTGCGACACACAGTAGCGCCATACACGTGGGAGGGGTTCATTGTCAAATTTGACACTTCAAGGAAGGGTTGATGAAAACTGCCGCGTGCAGGTTTATCCTATCCATGTTTGCTTTCCTATCGGTTCTTGCATAAGATTTACTGTTTAGCGTATATTTGCTTTAGTGTGTTACCTTTAATTTGCAATGAGACGACTTCAACATGATGAACGTCTTCTAAGTGCTATTTGTATGCTTCAAATGGATTCTACACAGCGAGCATTAGCCAACATGCTTAATGTGTCACAGTCTGTGATCAGCAGATTGTGAAACGGTACCAACAAACACACAATGTTGATGATAGACCTCGTTCAGGTCGTCCTAGAGCCACTACACAAGCCCAGGATCGATACATTCATACACAGGTCCTGCGAAATCGAGGACAAACGGCCAATCAACTTTCTGTAAACTTGTACCAAGTTACAGGAATTCGAGTCAGCCCCCCAAACGATTAGAAATCGGCTACATGCAGCCAATTTCCATTTGCGACGGCCGCATGTTGTGCCTCCATTAACTCGCCAGCACATGGCAAACAGGCGTCATTGTTGTAGGCAGTGTAGAAATTGAGGTAATTGCGATGGGAGCATGTAATGTTCTCAGATGAGTCCATATGCCTTGGCCAGCCATGAGACCTGACCTTTACCCTACAGAGCATGTCTGGGACATGATCGGGAGACGTGTTCGTCAACCGACAACACTGCAAGAATTTTCCGTGGCTCTGCAAGAGGAGTGGGTCAGATTGCCCCAAATCGTGATTGGACGGTTGATTAGGAGCATGCCACGACGAATTGCTGAATGTCTGAGGATTGGTGGCACAATTAATCATTATTAAGACAAAAATCAAAAACGTCCATTTTCACTTTTGACAATGTATCTCTTTGCGAGTGAAATGGTGCTGTCGGATAAGCCGCCCATATGAACTGTTTATGTTCATGTGTAGGCAATTGGCCTGTTATTAACATACACTGGTTACCTCTAATAAAAACAGCAGTGCATTTCCACAGTTTTGTATTGTTTCTGAATATCCCCTACTTTTTTTGAAGAGTATATATAGAACTGAAAAGTGGTGTTATAAAATAATAGACATATACCGGTAAAACTTGTTTGTTTATAACCACATTCCGAATCCAGATTCTGTATACAGTCTCTGTTTTCAGTAGATCCATATCCATACACGAATCTGCGAAACTGCTTGGTGATGTGGATTCTTTGGTTTTAAATAGCGTATAGAATATCAGTCTTCCTTCCATGAAATCAAAGTTCTTAAAACTGTTTGTTTGTGACTTGAATCTGGAAGGAGATTCTAGATTTGAATTCTGTACCATGAAACATACCGGTACCATTAAATCTAAAGTTGATATGCTGCTTGATGGAGGTGTCTATGTTATCAGGCCTATTTGATTTCTCTTTCAGACGAAGATACAAAGATTGATTTATTTGCAAATCTCACAGCTGATGATAAGGTATTGTTTGTGTACTATTATTTGTTTCTGCAGGTTGGTGTGGTGGACTGTGATTACCGATAATCACAAATTTATTGCCCCTGACACATTTGAAACCTTTTATGTGTGCTCTATGGTTCCGAGATTGCCAGACTGATTGGGAGGTATTTTTGATTTGGTTGGCCCATCCATCTGTTCACAATTTCTTTCAACAGTTCTCTCCAAGTTATCATGATGCACTTGTTCCAGTAAGACCCATCTTGCGATTAAAATCTCACTATATGCATAAGTCCCTTTAAAAACTGATTTAAAATATATTATAGGTAATCACTATAGTATGAAGTAATTAATGATTTGCCAATCTTAATAAATAGCCATGGGCTAAAATCTAACTATATGCATGGGTCCCTTTAAAACAGATTTTAAAATATATTATAGGTAATTACTATAGTATGAAATAATTAATGATTTGCCAATCATAATAGCTAGCCATAGGCATGTTTTAGGCCACACCAATATGAATTTCTGTTCGTCTGGATCACCTATTAAAATCCTGCCTCTGATTTCTTTAGGAAAAACCTAATTTAAAGAGTACATAAAATGACCATAACAAAATATATGTACTTAAAGCCAGTCTTTATTATATACACTTAATTCAAATCCATTTATAATTAATTGAGACATCTTCACTCAAAGTAGCAAATATAGGCCTCCCCTAAAAACGACTTTGCCAATTATCGAAAACACTCTTAATCCTCACAAACCCAAGTGACCAAATGCTTATTAGACATGTTTATTACTTAATTTAGGGGTTTCAGGTCACGTGATTTTAGCGTGAAATCTGACAACCAGCGGCTGAAAATAGCCTGCTTCAATCTACGATTCTGAATTACTATTTTATTTAAATGTATTACTAGCAATTGTGTTGTAATAGTTTAATATCAATCTTGATAATTCAGGCTCAAAAATTATCGAAATGTAAGCAAAATTACCGTTTATGTACAGGAGACGCTCGCGGGAAAATGCCGTCTGACGTCACACGGCTGGGGATTTTCCATTGCTACGGCTCACTTCATTGGTGAATCCACATCTTAGTTTCTGGGGAATTTCCACATAGAACCAATCAGACGATAGATGACATTTTTTTGATTATTATGGTGTGTAATACCCCGAGCTACGACAATTACAGCCGTAGAAATCGGGATATTTCTGTTTTGCTGACTGAAATTTGCTAAATTTCGACTAAATATGGCCTTCTTTTTTGTGGTATCATTCCAGATTATAAATATTTGACATAATATACTATTCAAAAAAAGTAGGGGATATTTGATTTTGGGGGCATAATACTAAAATATGCAAATGACTACGAAAAAAGTCACTATAGAACCTAACAGAAGAAACATTTCCAGTTACATGTGACGCCCAAATGCACCAATAGCTACCGCATGGAATGCAGGTGATGCTTGGGATCATCATGGGGGTCCAACCCAAGATTTGCACGACTCTGACTTTGAATGTTACAGTCATTGTGGCATTGAATTCCAGGGTGGAAACATCAGTTTAATTGTTTTAGTGACCAGAAAACAAATTTTGATATGCGTCGGCTTACCCAAAATGAAAGGTTACGTGCCCTTGGCATGCTACAGATCGGCACAACACAGGCGGTTGTGGCGCGGACGATGAATGTTTCTCAGTCTGTCATAAGCAGGCTATGGTCCAGATACCGTGATACACAATCTGTACAGGACAGACCACGCTCAGGTCGACCAAGGGCGACAACTCAAGCCCAGGATCGATTTATCCGTACCTTGGCCTTGAGAAATCATGTCATCACAGCAAATCAGATCAGCGCTCGTCTTCAAACAGACACTGGTGTGAGAGTGAGTGGCCAGACAATTCGGAACCGACTGCATAGGGGTCACCTTCGCGCCCGACATCTTCGTGTGATCCCTTGTTTGAGAGATCATCACATTCAGGCAAGACGTCGTTGGTGTAGGGATCGTCAACACTGGGATAATCGACGCTGGAGCAATGTGATGTTTTCAGATGAGTCAAGGTTCACTGTTGATTTTTTTGACAGACGTAGGAGGGTGTGGCGTCGTCGAAACGAGCGCTTCCAAGACGTTAACGTCATCAGACATGATCGATTTGGGGGTGGTTCTGTTATGGTGTGGGGAGGCATCACTGTTGCTGGAAGAACGGCTTTACATGTTGTTGCAGGGCGTGTTACAGGCCAGTACTACCGGGACAACATCTTGGCAGTCCATGTTGTGCCGTTCGCACGACGTCATGGCCGCCGTTTCATCTTCCAGGATGACAACGCAAGATGTCACAGGGCCAGGATCGTTACAGGTTACCTCCAACAACAGAACATCACCACATTACCTTGGCCAGCACTGAGTCCCGACCTCTCCCCCATCGAGCATGTCTGGGACATGCTTGGACAGAGGTTACGTCAACGTCAACAACGTCCTGCCAATGTCCAAGAACTTGCTGCTGCGTTGCAACAGGAATGGGACAATCTGTACAGGACAGACCACGCTCAGGTCGACCAAGGGCGACAACTCAAGCCCAGGATCGATTTATCCGTACCTTGGCCTTGAGAAATCGTGTCATCACAGCAAATCAGATCAGCGCTCGTCTTTAAACAGACACTGGTGTGAGAGTGAGTGGCCAGACAATTCGGAACCGACTGCATAGGGGTCACCTTCGCGCCCGACATCTTCGCGTGATCCCTTGTTTGAGAGATCATCACATTCAGGCAAGACGTCGTTGGTGTAGGGATCGTCAACACTGGGATAATCGACGCTGGAGCAATGTGATGTTTTCAGATGAGTCAAGGTTCACTGTTGATTTTTTTGACAGACGTAGGAGGGTGTGGCGTCGTCGAAACGAGCGCTTCCAAGACGTTAACGTCATCAGACATGATCGATTTGGGGGTGGTTCTGTTATGGTGTGGGGAGGCATCACTGTTGCTGGAAGAACGGCTTTACATGTTGTTGCAGGGCGTGTTACAGGCCAGTACTACCGGGACAACATCTTGGCAGTCCATGTTGTGCCGTTCGCACGACGTCATGGCCGCCGTTTCATCTTCCAGGATGACAACGCAAGATGTCACAGGGCCAGGATCGTTACAGGTTACCTCCAACAACAGAACATCACCACATTACCTTGGCCAGCACTGAGTCCCGACCTCTCCCCCATCGAGCATGTCTGGGACATGCTTGGACAGAGGTTACGTCAACGTCAACAACGTCCTGCCAATGTCCAAGAACTTGCTGCTGCGTTGCAACAGGAATGGGACAATCTGGACCAAAATGACCTTAGACGTCTCATTAGGAGTATGCCACGTCGGATCAATGCTTGTTTGGCAAACAGAGGAGGATTTACCCGTTACTGACTTGGTTGTGATGCTGTGGTAACTTTGCTGTTTGACCCCGGGTATCATTTTACCCTTATAATGGTCAGTCTGTGCCTTACTTAGTCTAACGATCATTTGGAATAAATCGATGAATGTGAACTTCATTTCATTTTGTCATTTGTTTCTTCGTCAGTTTCATTAGGTGACTTTAATAACACTTAAAAATCAAATATCTGCTAAAATTTATTGATAGTCCTGTTTAAATCCAAGCTATGACTTTATCTAGTGTTGATATTTTGATTTTGTTTTTGTAATTAAATGTTAAATAATCAATCTGAGTAAATATTTAACGTGGATTAGGCCATGAGATATAGAATATTTTAGCAAAAAATATAAATGACACACCATTACTTTTAACTACACAATAATATGTTTTATTGATCAAGACCTTGAAGAACTAAAGTTGAAATTCGTTTGACTGTAGGACAAAATTTTCTTAAAAGGTCTTATAAGAAGCTTGTTTGAATAATAGGTTGTTATAGTAGAAAAATAGAATTATTTACTGAAAGTCATTAGTAAGGCCAAAATAAATAAAATAAGAAAGATATCCTCTGTCAATCGCAAGTTTATTTATGACAATCACAGCTTGTAGTAGCATGTGGTGAAGAGATAGTAATGATGTATGGGATTTTGTCCGTATATTCCGGACTTGTCCGAATCTTTTTTCCAAACGCCTAAAATTGTCCGACCGGGAATATGCCCAATCGGACATCAAGACATGGTGAATAATATTCAAAATTCCGAAATTACTGAGTGTATAACTACCCCTCAACCCAATTATCGTTGATAATACGCTGGATTTATTAGGTAATTAAGTGATCAACATATTTATCGTGTTATACCGTCTAATAATAAACCTACCTTGATTAACTACTTAATCTGCCTTGATTGACTGACTTAATCCTTTGTCGGACAATTCATCAATCTAATCTTAAACAGAAGTCATTGCTTTCCCTTTGTCCGACTATTCATCAATCCAAGAAGAGTGATTATAATTTTAATCCACCTGTTTACCTGGTGGTTTCTCAATTGTCAAGCATTTTAATCGCATTGATGTGAGCCGACAGCATCTGTAAACTAATCATAGATGTCACATATCCTAAGAGTATATAACACCCTAAATCAATGGACAGTCATTTTGTCTACGATATCTTTTACGTCTTTTTAGACTCCATATAGAAATTCTCATCCACAGTGGCACTTTCCCGTGATCTCGAGCGCCGCACGAAAATCGCTTACGATGAAGCTATGTGCCGTGAGTCACGTACGCCAAACGCTGCAGGAAGTTACGTCTTTTTACAAGTAGGTACGGATCAGCAAGCTTTCATTCTATCATATTACGAAAACACGTAATTTTATAGAAATATCACTGACATAAATTTGAATACCACAATTAAATATGAAAAATAGCGAGGTGTTCCCATTTTTATTACGCACAGATTTGAATATTTTTGTGACTTTTTATTAAGAAGAAAACGATTCTTATTCCGAAAGTTCTACATTCATTTGCTGCCGTATAAACGAAGACACGTAATTTTACAGGAATATTAGGCTTACTGTTGTGAATTTGATGCCGAAGCAGTGGACAGTCATTTTATTTGCCATATCTTTTACGTCTTTTAAGACTCCATATAGAAATTCTCATCCACAGTGGAACTTTGCCGCAATCTTGATTGCCGCGTGAAAATCGCTTACGATGAAGCTATGTGCTATGAGTCACGTACGCCATACGGTGCAGGAAGCTATGTCTTTTTACAAGTAGGTACGGATCGGCAAGCTTTCATTCTATCATATTACGAAAACACGTAATTTTATAGGAATATCACTGACATAAATTTGAATACCGTACGGGAATTAAATATGAAAAATAACGAGGTTCACCTATTTTTATTACTACAGGAGTTGAATATTTTGTTAACACATGATTTTTAATTGTGGTATGAATACGTCAGCTTAAATAACAATAAGAGTTATGCCCCTTTATTTTCGGTAAAATGCCCGACAGGAAAAATTTTGAAATCCCATCACTGGTATAGATACAGGCTACTGACAACACACTCTTGCCTATTGCTACCCATGTACCCAGGATCTGCAAAAAGGCAAACTTCCATCTGTATAACACTGGCAATATTCGATCCTATATTGACCTTGATGCCACTAAAATGTTATGAAATGCTTTCGTTATCTCATCTTTAAATTATTTTAATTCATTATTGTATTCATTTCCTAAAACTCTTGTACATCAGCTACAGAAAATCAAGAATAAAGCAGCTCGAGTTATCTCTCAACAAATCATCTGACCATATTACACCTGTTCTAAAACAGTTACATTGGCTACCGGTTAATCAACGCATCATTTTCAGTACAGAAGTCAAAATTTGGTGAGAGAGCTTTTGTATATGCAGCACCAAAAGAATGGAACAAATTGCCACTGGAAGTCCAAACCTGGCTATATTTAAACCACATCTAAAAACCCTATATTTTACCCATACTTATCAACTTCATTTTTCATTATGTATATTGTAACTTGACTATTCCTTTGTATTCTTATATTTATTTGTATATACATATATGTTTTTTTTATAATCATATTTACATGTACATTGTAAAGTGCCACAGAGACAGCGCCGGGGGGGGGGGGGGAGGCGAGAGAGAGTTTTAAACAGTCATGGTAGACTGGATTGTCTACCTAGTGAAATTTAGTGAGTATTGCCACTGGTTGACGAATCTAGAGTAGTGAACTTTGATCCCAATTATTTAATTCCAACCAGTTTCTCACCTTGGTACAGGGTCGCAGATCATGGTAGACTGGATTGTCTACCTAGTGAAATTTAGTGAGTATTGCCACTGGTTGACGAATCTAGAGTAGTGAACTTTGATCCCAATTATTTAATTCCAACCAGTTTCTCACCTTGGTACAGGGTCGCAGATCGCCAAAAATTAGTGGTGGGGACAGTCCATACGTGGGCGACTATTGGTATAGAGGGGGGTTCGGGGTCCTCTCCCTGAATTTTTTTAAAACTAGACGCTCTAAAACGCACTCTGTGGGTATTTTCAGCATCATTTTCTGGCAAACAATTCTAATCCCTGAGACAGCAAATGATACGAAATCTAATCTAAAGATGAATCTTCAAGCCACCGTTCACGATTTATTCTCTCATGTACACTACAAGAACTAGAAATATTTACACTACTGAGATCCCAGCTCCGCCTCCATCCCAGTAGTGTTCGAAGACTACGTAAAGTCTTTGAGCAAAATGTGTATTCAATTGGATACACAAATGTACAGGCCTACGTAGACGTTCTACATTTGAAAGGCGCGGCATTTTCTAACAGATGAAAATAACAATTTTAATTTGTTTTTCCAGTTCAAGTTACGTGTGCGTGTTCAGTTTAAGCAAACTTGCATCGATTGACCTCACGAGTTTGTGTTTGCACGTGTTTTTCAGGTTTTTCATCTTTATATGCTCAAAAGTCACGTGATCCATGTGACTTTACAATTTTATGAAATTAAAGGCTTCTTACTACTTACTATCGTTAAAAACACTTTTAAATTTATTTGACTTACCAGAAAAAAAAATTTGTTGAAATTCATCAGTGTCAAGTTTTTAATTTGGCTGAGTATATATTTAAAACTAAAGATCAGTACACTTATATCCACTCTGCCCGTTTCTTTTCCCTTTGTCTTCTTTCTGGACGGCCCATGACAGGTTTTAAAAAATGTCTTTTCCGATCAATTTCCTAAATTTCTAAACCATCTTCAAAACAGCAAAAAATTTCACTTACTTGTAATAATAAGTACACGATTCTTGGCTCAGCTTACTGTACTCCAAAAAATAGAGGGTTCGGGTCTTAAATTTGAGATTTAATTGCCTATATTCCACAGAGAGAGATAGAAACCAGTCTTTAAAAATACGTTTATTTAGTATGGCAGCAAATCTAGCAATGAAGGGTTCCCCTGATATATAAACTAAATCCTTTAGTTAGGTGTTTTATCATCCAGTATACCAGATAAAAACAAAATCTCAGTTATTCCTTAACTTAATACCCAGCGTATCAGATATGCACATATTATTATAAACTCTATGGAATATTTTAATTATTTACTGTTATAATATGAATTATCACTTATTCCCTGTTAAATAAAAATCGGTCACCGGGTGCAGCTGTACAACTTCAAGGACTCTGTCCTTAAGTACCTGGGACCAACTCTACATTTTCTGAAATGTCAATAAAAGCTCTGGAATGATTTCAATTTCAAAAAATAAACAGTTAGCAAAACATCGGAAATAAGTAGTGGGGACACAGTATATCATGTCCCCACCACTAAAAATATTGGTGGGGACGCGTCCCGGTGTCCCCACCAGGATCTGCGCCCATGCCTTGGTATTATTATATCTAGCAAAGAGAATCGGTTTCAGACCAGTTATTTGCCCCTAAATTGGAAATCTAAATCAGACCAGTTATTTGATGATCTCGCTTATGAACATGGATGTAACAGACTTTAGTCATTATACTTAGTCACATCTTAATGTTATTTTTGAAAAAATTTTCCACGTTACAGATGCCCTTTGTAGGAAACTACGATATTGTAAACTTGAATTTCTAATAGGAGTATATCAGTCCATCCATCTATGCTACCGTTTATGTAAATTGTGTACTTTACTTTTTCGATGTTCTCTCTTTTAGCTTTTTTTTCTTGACAGAATCTTTTTACTAAACAGGTCTACATTTCTTCCAATATGCTATTTTGATTTTGTTTTCTTTATTAAATGTTAAATAATCAATCTAAGTACATATTAGTGTGGATTAAGCCGTGAGAAATTTTCCGAAAAATGAAAATCACACATCATTATTTTATACAAATCATTTACCATGCAATGTTTAAATCAGTAAAATTTATATAGTTTCTGTTAAATCCTTTTATAGATATGCCTGTAATTAATAAATTTTTCACAAACAGTGCACAAGTCTGTAACTTTAGGCTGATTATATGCCCGCATTGAAATGAGTCACATATTGTCATTGCCAAGTCCACCTGTTCGTCTGTCATCTACGAGAAGGCTAAAGTTATTTTCTGATTGACTTGATATTTCTTCAGATGAAAAATTCTGCTGATTTTGAACGATTGCTCTTGATCAGTTTGAAAAATAGTGTAGTTATTGGATTGACTGGAAATTTATTCAGAATGTTTATGTTCATTAGACGAAGATCAATATTATAATCTGATCACAATGTTAATTTCAACAGATGCAAACATTACAGTGTAAACATTCAATCAAATCCAATTAGTTTAAACTGAAATTAAATAAAAAGAAAATGCCCCTTAACATCTGTTAGTATTTTCTTGAATATTATTCAAATTTTGAATAAATGTATACTTTCACCTTAACCCACATACTGGTCTATAATGGACTTCACCTGACCAACTACGAATTGCACACTGTGGTATCAGTAATAATTTTTGTGTTTTGTTTTTTTCAGTTAAAGATAAATAATTTAAAAGACGGTTGGAGGTGTGGTCAGAAAGATTCTTCTCTAAACTTCAATATTTTTGTCACTTCAAACCCCCAACAGGTAAGATGTTAAGACAAATTTATCTCTACAGCACATTATTGGTTCCTCTTTACATTATTCAAACCGTGCTTTTCTTTGATTTGCTTTCTTGATAATTTCGCTGACTTTCATTGATTTATTTGATTGCTATCCATGATTTGGTTGTGATGTGATAAAATTCCTACCTTGGACTGAGATTTTCTGTCGGCTGGAAAACTGAACCAGACGAATATATGCCGAAGAAATAGAAAGGGGCACAATATGTCCCTATTGATAATGTGATACATCTTTCACCTTTGTAACCAAGTTTACTTTTTTTGACAAATGATGAAAATTTGTAAACTTGATTTTTTTTATGAGTAATGTAAAATGTATTTTATATATACAGTTCAAACATGTAATGTCAATCCTTCAGGGACCATTGCTCTTATGTTCAGGAAAAACATGGAGTAGGATAAAGAATTCAGTCGAAAGTTTAAAATATGGAAAGCGGTATGTCTGGAACTCTTTCACAGAGATTATACTACCGCAAAATGTCATACCTGATATGACCAAACAACAAAACGAAATATTAATGAAAAATTTATTAAGTTTGTTTATTTGCAGGTGTGTATTGTTTATCAGTTTTTACATTAAAGTTTGTTCACTTGCAGCTGTGTATTGTTTATCAGTTTACAATAAAGTTTGTTCACTTGCAGGTGTGTATTTTTTATCAGTTTACAATAAAGTTTGTTTATTTGTAGGTGTGTATTGTTTATCAGTTTACTATAAAGTTTGATTTTTGGCAGATGTGTATTGTTTATCACTTTACTGTAAAGTTTGTTCACTTGCAGCTGTGTATTGTTTATCAGTTTATTTGTAGGTTTATTTTGTTTATCAGTTTACTATAAAGTTTGTTTATTTGCAGCTGTGTATTGTTTATCAGTTTACTGTAAAGTTTGTTCACTTGCAGCTGTGTATTGTTTATCAGTTTATTTGTAGGTTTTTATTGTTTATCAGTTTACTATAAAGTTTGTTCACTTGCAGCTGTGTATTGTTTATCAGTTTATTTGTAGGTTTTTATTGTTTATCAGTTTACTATAAAGCTTGTTTATTTGCAGCTGTGTATTGTTTATCAGTTTACTGTAAAGTTTGTTCCCTTACAGCTGTGTATTTTTTATCAGTTTACAATAAAGTTTGTTTTTTTGTAGGTTTATATTGTTTTTTAGTTAACTATAAAGTTTGTTTTATTGCAGCTGTGTATTGTTTATCAGTTTACTATAAACTTTATTTATTTGCCGGTGTGTATTGTTTATCAGCTTATTAAATAAAGTTTGTATATTTGTAGATGTGTATTGGTTATAAGCTTATAATAAAGTTTTTGTTTATCAGATTATAATAAAGTTTGTGTATTTGTAGGTATTTGTGTATTGTTTATCAGATTACAATAAAGTTTTTCTTTATTTATAGGTAGGGAGTATATGTGTATATATTGGTATATCAGACTACGATGAAGAATGTTTAACAACAGCTTGTGAAGATCTATTGTCTAATTCTGCTATTATACCATATGATAATACAATTGTCTTTATGGAATATGCTATTAAAGAAAAGGTAACATATTTTAACTTAAATGCGCGAACATACCTATTGTCTATAACAAATTAGTTATGAATATCCTTTTTAGAACTGCTGATGTCATTTCAACCAAATTCCATATATATATTTATTGTAAAAGGTGGGAGTGGTTGGACTTTCATGTGACGAATATTGGTACCCTAGATGCAGTTGCTGATTACACTATTTTGTCTATACCTTTTTTTATGTCTAATGGTTTGGATTGTTCATATAAGGTTTTATTTTTTTTAAGGGATAAAAATGGACCAAATTTCAAAAATCCCCGTTTAAATAACTGCAGAATGATTTAATTTTAAGTTTTTTTGTAAATAAACATCAATCAGACCATGGTCATTCAGATGTATTTATAAGAAAGAAAGGTGGAAATGATTATCATCACCATTCAAGAAGTATTCTTATAACATTTCCATGCGTCACTACTTTGATTTCTGTACTAGGGGGCCACGGTGGCTCAATGAGTAAGACGATGGGTCGCTAACTAGGAGCTTTGTGTTTACTCCCAGTGTTGACCAAGAAAGTTCCTCAGGATTTACTGGCTGTTTCCACTTATTAGTGGTGTCAAAGATGTTGTCTAGTTGTACGGATGGGACAGAAAACCAAGGTCACATGTACACATTAGTGTGCACATAAAAGAACCCTTAACAATTGGAATTCAAAATAAGGGTAAGCTGTAGTGCCATGGTGCGGACAAAATTTCCTTCAAAGCACACTGTATTATGTATGTACATCTTCATTAGCCCAGTCTATGCAGAAAAGTAGGACGTTAAACCTCATTTCATTTCATTGCTTTCTGGATATATAGGTATATATTTCTGAAACCTTTAATACCGTACTATGATTCATCTGTCACCAATCATTCATATTGCTAATATAGTTATACAAGTTTTTATACTTGCCATTGCCACTGCCCGTCCGTCTTGTGAACACTCTACAAGCTACCACATTCTGATTGTTTTGAAATTGATGTATGTTGTTTGCATTAGTGAGCTGAAGAAGCCAAATGAATTTCAATAATTTTCGTTAATTTCTTCCAGAGTTATGGCCCTTGTTTTACTTTGTTGAACCCTGTAAATGTTCAAAGCTTGCAACCTATATTTTATACTTAATCTCATCTGTATGAAATTTTCTTGTAAATGTCCCCAATCCAATTACCTACAAAAGAATAAATATGAGAAAACTCTTGTTGACTGGATGATATAGCTGCTGTGGGCGTATGTTTCGTTGCCTGGTAACCTATCATTTATACTTACTCTCTGACAGTCAAATAAGGGCTCTAAGCCTTTTGTTGTACTTATTAACAGTAGAAGTGAGATAATGAAGATAAACCATCCTCTTGTCTTCAGTTATTAATTATTAAACCATATATACATTATAATTACTTTACCCATTGTTTACAATACTAATTCATTTTTATACACCCACATTGAAATATGGTCGTATATTGTTTTCAACTTATTATCCAATTGACTTTAAATTTATACACAGTGTTTAAGGTCACGAATAAAAAATCTTACTCATTTTCAACGATTTCTGATAATTACTGCCACCGTTAAGGCCCTTGATCACTTTGAAAAATCTTGTGTACTCTAGAGACTAAAGTTAATATAGATTGTTTAAGGTTACGAGACAAACCATCAAAACAAATTTTAATGTTTTCTGATAATTACTTATAGGTTATTACTCGTAATCAGATTTTCATGTGTTGTAAATGTTCTCATTACTGACAAAAGAAAAAATATGCGTCAACACTTGTTGACTACCCCAATACGACTTAGCTGCCGTGGACATATTTCATTCTGTCTTCCTTCAAATAAGCTGCTGGGGGCATTTATTCGTTGCCTGACAATGTTATGTGATTTATATTTTAGTTCATAGATATAACACAGACACCAACCCGAGTCTTTGCTTCTGTAATGATGGATTTATGTAAAGTCTTCCCTAAACAGTTCATTGATATAGTTTCAAAAATTATTACAGAGAAACCTATAAGTAAGTAAAGTTATTAAATTTGTATGTAGTCTATCTGCTAGTTGGTGGGTTGGATGGCTGAATGGTCTAAGGCATGCATTTTAGACCATAAGGTCTGTCATGGATCAAGTGGCATGACTCTGATTCCCAGCTTGTACGTGACAAGGAGTGAGATCACTGTCCAACCTTGTGGATTTTCTCTGGGTTTGTCCTGAAATGATATAGTTTATGTCGACTGGCCATTAAACCCCTTTTCTCTCTCTCTCTCTCTCTCTCTCTCTCTCTCTGCTAGCTATATAGAAGCAGTCAAATAAAAACTAATGTTCCCAAAGGAAAAGCCATTAAATGTATTGTGATTGGAACTTTTAAAGGAAAAGCAATTGTGAATAATTTGTTGGGAACAATGAATTATACCACGACTCTCATATATTCAACAGTCTGTTCAGTATTTACAAAAATCTGATGAATTAAAATTTGCTGATGATATACAAGTACAACCTGTAAGAGTTGGGTAAAATCGGGAGATTATTTACTGTTGATATTTACTATTGTTATTTTTTTATACAGCCTCACAACAACACAATACGGACAAATCATATTTATATATCATTGTAACATCAATTAGAATTTTAAATCCAAGTCTTTATAAGTCTTGTTTTGATTGCACAATAATACACTTGTGATTTCAGATGTATATCAGAGTGAAATAATATGTAGAATTTGTTCTGAAAGTATGGAAGAAAGAGATCATCAATATTTTATTAGGTATAATTGAATGTGTCTTTTTATTGACGTCAAATAATATACAGATTGATTCTCTATAAATAATGTCCATTTCCAAAATGACCTATTTAAAAGCCCACATTTTATGTTATATGATGGGCAATTATGTACCGGTAGTCATCACCCCTGTCCATGGTCTATTCTTGTAAATATTCTAAACCTCATATTGTTGGAGATATTGTTTGGAAACTAAATCTTACAAACAATCTACAGGTCAAAGTGTTCCTTGACTGGCAATGTATATTATTTCAGCTCTTGATAATTCAAAAGCACACCTGGGTCAGTAAAATTTCCACTAAACAATTTACAAAGTAATAAAGGCGTAAAATTGTGACTAAAAACTGGTTTGTATATATTTCTTTTCTTTGATATGACTATCTTCATTGCTCAGAAACACAATATCACAGTATTTTTCAATGTTTGTTTGTTTACAGGATTATGGTTGCTACCCCTAGAGTTATAGATGAACCAATCATCTCAATTTTACAATCACTAATTGAACTCAAAGTAGACATATCACCAGATGTAACAATTGATCTGATTGGTTGTTTATCGCTGTCTAGAACTCAATTATCTACCAGTAAGAAATTTGGAAAATTTCTACTACACTTCATCAATAAATATGGCAAGCAGGTATATGTGCTTTCTTCAATATATGATAACTAATAATTAAGCTTACTTTGTTTTAGAATTAAACGTTTATTGTCCAAGCTGATAGTCCGAAAGTAAAGAGAAGTAAGAACCAAAGGCTTGCTACTGTAAAGATTTGAAGTAAATCACCCATACTATTGGTACTATTACACACACAGACTGTGATCTCTTTATCCATTGTCTACGAATTAACTTGGTGAAAACATTGAAATATCCACCAGATTTACCAGTGGTCCTAAAAAGGGATCCAGCTAAATAGATATGAACTTATCTTTAAAATATTTTGGAGTATACATGGTGTATACCCTTTTCATTAGCTAAGTTGGTGTAGAAAAGAAGAAAGTCAAATCCCATTTCGTTTGGATAGTTTGATTAGCATACATGTAAATGGAGCTTCAGTATAAATTGTGTGTTAGTATATAAAGGGTATGATCTTTGAGATTAGAGTATTTTACCTACTATTTATATAAAGCATTTTAGGACATTAAATTTAGGACAATATTTACTGTTGCCCAGACTTTTTACCTGTTGATGGATTTCATTTCCTGACAACTTATATTTTTGCTTCCATTTCAGTTCCAGACATCAGAATTATCATCCATGGCAGTTATATTAGACAGTCATTCTACGTTTTTGAAGAAAGCTGCTGAACTTGCGTTTAAAAAATTTAATTCATTGTAAATATAACTGATAAAAACAGTTGAATAGTTTATAAATAAATTCTTTAAAAACACTTTGATTGAAAAATGTATTTTTTAAAATAAATGGATGTTTTGGCTCTTTGGATCTCAGTTCCCGACATAACGTCACACCAGCGTTTTAATTTATTTACAAAATACGAAACAGTGCCATGTGTAGTAGTTATGCATTGTTGAAACTATATAATTATTTGACTACCAGATAGTGAATAAGTTATTCTTTGAAGTTACGAATTGAAATGGATATATAACGTCCTACTTTTCTGCAAATATTCATTGAGAAACAATAAAGCAATACAGTTAGCCTGACATTTATATGCTGGCCCCCTTAGTTATTTAGTCGGAGCAGAACAGTAGGACGTTAAACCCCATTTTATTTGATTTCATTTCTTTAAGTTATTTACTAGACGCCATTATCCCCCAGGTTAAATACGTTACCATGAGATTTCGGCGTGCATATAGGATTGCCAGGCGCAAAATATCAATTACTAAAATTTTGAAATCGCTTTGAGCACACGGTGCCGACACCAAACGACGTCATAATGATGGTTGCTAGGTAGAAGCAATGCCAGATTAACCATGGTGGGGGCCTGGAACATGTGGGGGGCCCTGATCACCGACCGCGGAGCTGTGTCCGGCGAAGTCGCCCACCGCAAGCGCCAGAGGCGCAATGCCCCGCAAGGGGGGTCTCCCCCCAGGAAATTTTCAGAAATTGGAGGCCGGAAACGTGATTTCCTGGCATTTCAGGCACTTGTGTCGGAGCCAATTTGAAGTACCTCCCCCAGAAAAAATAAAATTCTGTCACAAAATTAGCTGCATTCTGTCGTTATTTCAGTGGACCAATCCATGCGAGTGCTATGAAATGATGGCATTTCTAGAGCAGGGGGCTGGAGCCCATTGAGCCCGTTAAATCCGCCACTGTAAGTGAGCAGACCTACATCAAACCTAATTTTGAAGTCGCTCAGTGATAAATAACGGGGTCACTTGATTCGGAATCGTATTATATCCCCCACGATGATTTGATGAATGGAGGCCGTAACGTTACGACCAAGCCGTAACATCAAACCTAATTTTGAAGTCGCTCAGTGATAAATTTCGGGGTCACTTGATTCAGAATCGTATTATATCCCCCACGATGATTTGATGAATGGAGGCCGTAACGTTACGACCAAGCCGTACTCGATTTTTGACGAACGTCTAACACTGTAAGTACCCCTTGGTAATACGAGATTTAATCAAGAAATCTGAATATTTCGTGTGATCATGATGTGGATCTCATCAAATTCAGCTTATACCCACAACAAATATCAACAAGAAGAACAACAACAACAACTATAGCTTATATACAATCATACGTCAATCTGAGGCAAAATTCGCGCTACTCGAAATGATGGGGACGGGTAATTTGTTCGAGTTATACGATAATTCAAGTTCGACGATGTTCTGTCCGATAGATTTTTGTGGGGGGCCCTCTAATGTGGGGGGGGGGGGGCCTGGGCCCCATGGTGCCCTGTGGTTAATCCCGCGTTGGGTAGAAGTATCAAAATTCTAAATTTGTTCAACGTTCATGCTAAACATGTAAAGCGACAATGAAGTAGACAGTTTTCGTCTTAATAATAGAAATAAGATGAAACAGAAATTACATGAATACAAGTTAGAAATTAGACGTTAGAATTTTGAATCTAATACACCGCCATAATGTTCTCCCTTTTAAGTTTCTGATACATTGGCGACATAGCATGTAAACTATGTTTTGGTTTATGCTAATAATAGTAATGCTCTTCCGAATATTAAATAACAAACAAAACAAATTGACTTCAATAGTTTAATGGAGTAGTTAAAAGCAAAATAAGTATGAGAGTGCATTTTGACTAATCACGCAACACGTATAAAATTTAATTGAACCGATGAAGTAGTCTGTAAATATTCTAATTGGTATTTTATCTTGTACTATTAAAATAATTATACATCATGTACGCATTAATGAAATTCTTCTATTTCCATATTGATACGTTCACATTTAAAAGTGGTCGCATATTGTCCGTCATTGTGGACGCTTTAGAAACTCAAATTTGGAATTGGAATTTATACACAGTGTCTTTGTTAGTGAGACTGAAACCAAGAAGCTTTTAGATTTTCAACGATTAATTTTTGCACAAAAGAAGTTTCAGCAGAGGCGGATCAAGGCTTCGGCGGACCATAGGTAGCTCGGTCAGCTGGACCGTTTGCGAAACTACACCGTTGTAAACGAAAGTTCCTGTATAGGTGTGGATATATCGAAATATAGAAATACTTGGTCTAACATTACCATATCAGTCGGTCTGCGATCATATATAGGCTCAAAGTCTACTACAAAACGAAAATAAACGTAATAAATAGAACTTCTAAGATCTTATAATAAAATCTGTAATCTGAGATTAGCTAATTAGTTCATTTCAGCCATTAACTATGTCATTTTTAGCTGACATAGAAATTGAGAATTTAATGCAATCACTATCGGGTGGCATCTTTCTAGCCTAATTTCAGTGTATTCCTTGACCCCAAAATCACACGGTTAGACACCAAAATTATCATCCTAGACCAAATACTATGGGAGTTAGGGATTATTTGAAATAGCGGACGTCTTGGACGCCATGTTGAATTTCTTAAAACCCTCAAGGGTGACCGAGATTCTGAAAGAGGACACCCTAGGCTACTAAAATCAATCATAAAAAAACAACTATGTATAGGCCAACAATTTCCAGGTTTATCTAAAATTATGTCCGACTATAAAGCGTGATGCAGTGACAGCCCCCCCCCCCCCCCGCAAAAGGTTTCGCCCCCCCCCCCCCCCGTGAAAAAATTGTCGACCATAGATATAGATTGTTCGTCAATTTTACAGCACCCCTGAGAATGAGAACACTTTCCGCCCCCTCGTTGCTCTGAGCTAGTTACGGTCCTGTGCAGTGAAGCAAAAAAAAAAAAAGTAACCCAGTTTAGTTTCGAGGTCGTCGAAACATTTTGGGGCAGATTTATTGCTTGGGCCGTAAGCAGCTGGCTATATTAGGACAATCCGATTGTACATAAACTTATATTGCCTGTCCTCTTGATCACGACAAACCAGGCCAGGGTCGTGCTGTCCTTGAAGGGGCCCGTCGGTCGACGCTGGTAGTTTTTTTTTTTAAATTTGGCAACGGGAAACGCGTTTTGCAAGCACTTCTGGGAGAAATCTAGGTATCATATTTTCCAAATTTATGCTGCTATAACAGCTGTAGTCGGCAAAATTTTTAATCAAAGACCATTTCACCTTAAGGTGACAGACATTTGCACGTCAGCATAATATATTTTACTAATCGTTGTGTATGTATGATTTTTCGCGTGCGCACTCTCAATTTTTTGAGGGGATTCCGCGTGAAAATTAGAGCTCTCAGGGGGGCCCGCTTATATGGGTGGACTTATTGTTTAATGGGGGCCTGGGAGGACACCGTCCTCCTAAACTCTCTGCCAGCACGCCCCTGAACCAGGCCCGTAGCCAGAGGGGGGGAAGGGGGGGTGGTGGGCTGCGACAAACGCGTTTCTTTTGTCGTTACTGCCACAGTCCATCAGTTTGGTAAACCAAAACACCTATAATCAATGTTTAATCTCAAGGTTATTTGCAATAGCTTTTCAGCAAATGCCTCAAAGAGACTTCAAAATTCTAGTAATCGATAAAAAGACAATACGCTGGGATTAACTGGAGGCAAATATAATTACTCAATATGACACTTGAAGGATTGAGTTAGGCAAGATAGGTTTTTAACCAACCAATGACCAAGTCTCTAGTTTTCTCTGGATGTTTTAAACATCCACCAATCAAATTACTAGAAAATAACTAGGCAAGTTATTCGGAATTTCAAGCTTTTAAATTCGCGGACAAATCATCTAGTCGTGCCCCCCCCCCCACTCACACACACGTACACACACAAACCTCTGGATCCGCCCCTGGGAGGCTAAGTAAGTAAGACGCTTGCTCTCTTACGTGGAGGTCGCGCGTTCGATCCCGGTGTTGACCGAGAAAGTTCATAGTGATTTTACGGCGTGTTTTCTCCCTTGTCAGCGTGCCTGACGGAGGGCCTGTCAAGGACACCTGTCTAGTCGTTCGGATGAGACGAAATACTGAAGACCCGTGTACACATAGGCGTACATGTTAAAGATCCCTTGGCAGTTGGAATTCGATATAAGAGTAGGCCGTAGCGCCGCTGTCAGGGCAAAATTTACCCCATAGCACAGTCGGAGCAGAACAGTAAGACGTTAAACCACAGTCAATCTGCTCAGTGAATCATTCGGTATGACAAATTTTCTTGTTTTCTGTTGGAAGGTCCAATATACTGCTTCACGAATGGCCACGACCTACACAGTGCACACCAGGGGCTAAGTGGAGGTGACGCAATGGCGTTTTCAACGCTATCATAATTATAACGTTCAATCAGTGTCAATATACTGCGACTCTGCTATAAATCGACTCCTAGCTCGTAAAATGTTCTGCACGGGCCAAAAGTTACCAGCGCTGGGGTGAAAGTATAATACTTCATTAACGGTCTCTGACCGGACCATATCCGCTGACAGTTCCAAACCTTCCCTATATACATGTAGCTGCAATATGAAAATACCGCTCGTCCCCACCTCTGTGCTAAGCCTATTTTGGAATCCTTACCTTCTATTTTTCACCGTGATTCTTTATTTTTCGTCTGACAGAATCATTTCTCGCCATATCTGACACAAATTTATTATAATTCAACACCATTTTCAAGTAGAATTTCTAAAGGAACTAGGGTGAGAGAACGCTTCCTAACTATATAAATGGTTGGTTTTTGTGTCCCTGGATCTTGTTTCTCATGCAAAATCAGTGGCCACCACACCACGCCTCAGGTGTACTCCGAAAAGTTATTCGGCAGTTTCCTGCTAATTCCCTGTTCGCCTACTAGCGGAATTAATTAACTTGTCTGGCAAGCCATGTTTTAAATGATAAAAAGACATTAATGGAAGGGCGGAGATTTGATCGTATTATAACAGTATATGTCAGTTTTTATAGTGAAGGTAGGTCGATTGTAATACAATAGATCAAGATGGTCGGATGATACGGCTGATATAGGATGGGGGAGTTCTCAAGGAAAACTACAATGTCTCTCTTGTGGATGATTTATCGCGGATTTATTTTTTTGCATTTATGGTGCGATAGGTAAGACCTTGAAAACAATTATTAGGGTGAGGGTGATCATTTTAAAAGTTGGAATGAAAAATAAAATTCTGGGAAACGTTAACTTGCGATCATATTAATAGATTGATTTCCCTAGAGATTGGGTCCGAATATTTTGAAATTTTGATGAAATCTTTTATTAGTCGGTTTCATTTGTAAGACAAGACGGAGGGCTGATACCTTTTGCTTTCGGTATTTATTGACAATATTATCA